GCTATGCCACAAACATTGATTCCACCAATTGACACGTTGCTTCACAACAACAACAACATCACTCACTAATCCAACCACCGCCCCTGCAATGCATTTCGCATCATCTTGCTGTGCCGAACTTACTGACCTCACTTTGGGCTTGTGCTCGAACTCGGCCCATTCATCCTGTCCTTCCCCTCCTGCAACGCCAAGAGGCACGGGAATCAAGGCAAGCTTTTGCACAAGTTTTCCAACGAAGGGCACCAAGTGCAATTGGGGAGCTAACTGAAGCCTGTAAAGTAAAGTTCTTTTTTACGGTGCTAACTGGAGTGCTAACTGGAGTGCTAACTGGAAAGGAGTGGCAACACCTTTCTACACCAAGAAATCAAGACCCAGTGAAATCCAGCAGCAAGGCATCCGTTTTTGGTGGCAGAACCGACCGTTGGGACCAGGGAACACGGTTGTGCTTGTCACAAGCCTTGGGGGCATGCAGCCTACCTTACCATGTGCCCTTGCAGGCCAGGTTAAATATGAGGAAATTGTCCTAGAGAAAGGTAGTGAGACTGTCTACTGAAAACGCACCTGCTAAATGGAATGCAGCCACCCATCCCGCCAAAAAAAATGTTGAGCATCATCAGACCGTACGGAGATACTATAGGAATTTGACAGGTTAAATGTAATCCCCCTAAATAATCATCCTCCTTGTTGAAGTTTCATGAACTCTCCAGGTGTAACCATGGCTAGCGGCATCTGGTGGCTAGCATCCCAATGCCCATCAACATGCAGTTCCGCTGTCGGTCCTGTACTCCTGAGCTGCCTCAACTGAAGAACCAATGGTCGACGGGTCACGATGCCAGTGCCGCGTGGCAGAAAATCGCGGCCTCGGGGTCGCGTCTGAAGGGTTGGTGCAACATCGCCCAAAACATTGGGATTATCTGATCATTACACATATCTTGTTGTGTACATACCGGACGGTTTTGTGGACTGCTGGAATACTCCTTCACAGCGAGTGATCTGTGCTAGTCGCAAGGGCCACGACTGAAGGGTCTAGGCACGTGACCAACGAGAATGGGGCGACTGAAGGGGCTATTGATCTTGAAAGTCAGGATAAGTGTAGCGCCTGACTGATGGTTGACGCTTAAATCTTTATTTCATGGGATTATCGTATGATTGGCTTAGTGGAGAGCGCCCATCAATCCAAATAAAAGCCACAAGTATGTCACAGAGACTTGCCCCTTCGTCAGGATTTTGCTTGTCACTCCAGTATGGCCAAAATAGCTACGACAAAATCAAATCAGATAATTGACAAACTTCACTTAGAGGTGCATCAACTTCTTGCGAATTGGTTGAACTGAATACCAGGAATGCTACCCTCTGGTAATTTAACATACTGTAGCTATTGAACATTGCCATAGAAATAGTTGATTTTCCCATTCAACATTGCCATTTTCAGTAGCTATGTTAAATTACCAGAGGGTATTCTGATCCTAAAATGGAGGTACTGTACCATATTTTTGGCCATGTTTTGTGGGGGTATTTCCTTACATAGGCCATTGATAATACTACCCTACACTTTGGCGCCGTGTTGCCAACGAGGCTTTCCAAGACGGAAGTCTTCCCGACGGACTGCGATCCCATGACGGTAATCATTGGCAAGGAGAGATCTGAAGTCAATCCTGCCAAAATCCAATGCCAAAGCGTCAAAACATGTCAAAACCAACGCAGAATAGGGATAATATGGGGATAATATAACTAGACATACCTGATATAAATGATATAACTGATATAACGGGAATATGCTGGAGATTGGGGAACAATGAACGTTTTCCATGGTTTTCCCATGATTTCTTCGTCTACGACTGTCAAGCACCCAGCTATTTTCATCAACCGAAGGGGCTCCTGCAGAGATGATCACTTGGTGAATTGCATTCAGCACCGCCAAGGGGTCCTTCATGGAAGGCAACTCCTCGGCTCGCAATGGGATGGGGCCGGATTCGGCCGGATTCGGCCGGATGGGGTGTTGAACGACCTCACATGACCTCACTTCATTCACTTCGTATCCGAGTGGAGTGTTGACTGAGTGCTGCTGGTGAGTTCACAGTTTCAGTGTCAAACCTGAATCGCCATGACAATTGTGACGAGCATCTTCCGTCCGTTCAAGAGCAGGAAGCACATCGGAAGCAGCTGCAGTCATCTGTTCCGATGTCTCCTGACTCACATGACTCACATGTCACTTCGGCCAAACTGTCAATTGAAAAATTTATGCTTGCGAGTTGATCCCCAATTTTCAGAAAAAGGCTCTCTTTCTTGGCTCCTGGGTGCTTACGTCCGCCTGAGTGGGCTGCATGTTACCTCCATGCAGCTTCCCCTGGCGTGGCTGCAGCAAATGGTCACAGCAAAATCGAGAGATCCACCGTGATCTACCACATACCGTACCGCATATTCTGATGTCAAAAGTCTTCAAATCTACAAAGCCCAGAATCCTTGAGAAATCCCTTGGATGCTTCCAGATTTTCCAAATTTCTAGCTGATAGCCCCCATTCCCTGCCTTGGCAGCCAACAAGCTCTCGTGGAAGCTTTTCAAAACATCCATGTGGCATTGTCATCTGCACTGCGGAAAGACCGATCCAAGTTATGGCTGAGTCAACCCCTGGACCAAGTTCTGAAAAATGGAGAAAGATGGCTGGTTCCACCGTGACCAACAAAAAGGGATCAGAGATACAACAACCAGGACACAATCCCACAGGGATTTTCTTAACCAAACTCATCTACAAATCGCCAAATCCCCTTCTTTCTGCTAGTTCACTGCAGTTGCGTGTCACGTGACTCTCTGTATGTGCCAGTCCCAGCAATGGCTAATGATTTGAGGACTGTCGCATCCGCAAAACCTTCCGACTTGCACATGCATATCACTGCATATCTGCATATCTTCTTGGCTCCTGAGTATCTGGTGCCTACTTAGTGCCCAATGCCCATGAAAGTCTTTGAAGGGCACTGACAAGATTCCTCGGCATGGTTTCACTCTGCACGGCTCTTTTTTAGACTAAACGCCTGCACAACATGCCATGCATTGCCATGCCAAGACTGCCAAGATGCTGCAGTGTGGGGCAACCAACACCTGGATATCAGAGAATGCACCCGACAAGCCACGGAAGTAATGGCGGCCAACCATCTTTTCCTTAAAATGTCAGCCACGGAAAGCCTGTGCGGCAGCCTGAACCAATTTCAAAAGGGGTTGAAATGATCACCCAGAATGACGCACGCTGTATGCTTTCTCAGCACACGAGCAATTGAAGCGTTGGAACAGCCTTTGGTCCCTGCATTCAAACACTGAACAGAAATTTACAGGTGAAACTGTTTTCCCACTGTGCATGTCAGAAATAGCAAGCCCTGGCACTGCGGCCACGGCGGGCTTTGTGTGTTGCTACATCGGTACGTGCCTTGCTCATGTTACCCGTATCCTGTGATCCACATGGAAAAATGTAAGTCCGCCACATGGAAAACCGAATCTCGGCACAACTTCTGCATATCGCATGGTGCCGGTCACCTGCCACGGGCAAAGCAACTGCCATGCTGTGATGCAAGGCTGGGGTCATCCAGAACGAGCAACCAAGGGATATGGGTCTGTTGTCTTACCACCATTCTCTCCTTTGCTTCAAAGTGCAATATTTATCATTACCTGAAGCCCCTTGGATGACAATCTGACAATCCCATTGGTGTTGTTGGTTGCATTCCCCCCGGAAACCCAAGGTGCTGGACACAAGATGTCCTGCCATACTACACAGCTTTGATGCTTGATTTCTGCCATAGGAAGAGGCCCGAGAAGCCAGCCATGGCACATGAATGGACAGTGGCCGAAACCTACACACATCGATTGACCTCCCAAAACTTACCCCGTGCCAACAACAAAATTTAACAAAAATCCAATTACCACCAGAGAAAGCCACAGCATCGGTGCTTGACGGCTGGAGAGAATCCCTGCCTTGGCGAAATTGCAAACTCTGGTCCGGCTGTTCCTGACGGGACCCGTAGGGTCGCACCAAACCAATGCCACATGGAGCTTCTTGTGGGGGTCGTACTGCTAGAGAAACACATTTTGGCCGTGACGGAAATGGAAAACACGGAACAAACCCACTCACATGTCCTGAAATACCAGGGGCAAAGTCAAACATTCAGTCAGCCACAACTAGTGGCAACAACTGCTGGGTTGCCCGTCTCACATGCCTTTGGCACCAATGGCCCTGCAATGTGTGTCATTTCTGGTATTCAGCCATGGATTTTTCGAGGCACACAATTTAAATTTAAAACCATTCCCAGATCGACCACCATTGCTGAAGGTGCATTCTGGAACTTGGAAGTAGCAACGAAGACACAGAGATGTCACAATCGTTGCGTTGGACATGGATTTCCCTCTTCCATTCGTTCCTGCAACTTGTGCACTTCATCATAAAAAAAACTCAATTGTTGGAATCATTTCTATGTAGACGGCAGTCAGATTCACTCCACCAACGGAGTGCACCCAGTATTTCCCATCATATCTTCCAATCAACTAGTTACTAGTTATAGATCTGGAAATCCACCATTTGCAAAACATTTCCAGGGGAAATCATAGATTTTCCATATTTTTGTATGTCTCTACTGTCTCTACCTTAGGGCATCCCCTGACATGTTGCTTCACGGGCGCTTCTTTTTGGGTCAGGATCTTCTGTCACCGCAAGCGACCACCATGATCTGCGTTTTGGGCCAGTCAGGGTATTCCGTGTCCACCGCCTCCATCGCATCTAATGCATCCAATCCAGACAGAACTTCGCCAAAAACCACATTTTTTCCATCAAACTCCGGCAGAGATCGCAAAGTCACCATGAATTTGGAGCTGTTGCTATTGGGGCCATGGTTCACCATTGAAAGTAAACCACGTTTATGGTGCAGGTCTTGAAAACCTTCATCGGAAAATGTGGGGCCATAGATGGATTCTCCTCCAGTGCCGTTAAATTTGGTGATATCACCCCCTTCCACGAGGCTACGAGGAATGACCTTATGCACCACACTGCGGCGGAAACTCAATGGAAGGCCCTTTGTACCAGCGCGCTCTCCGGTGCAAAGACAACGGAAATTCTCAGCGGTGCGAGGAACTGTATCGCTATATAAAGCGATATTCAGCCGATATATTGGGCCATTTCCTGACACTGAGTCTGAGTGGCTAAAGTATGCTAAAATCATCAAATATATTTTTCGAGAAGTAAACCTTCTGGGCATTTGGACAAACAAGTCAAAAAAAAAAGACATCCTAGCGTTGGGGAAAAGCTTCCTCCACTTGCTAACCAGTTTCCAATCTGAATCTCCAACCATACTTGAGGCAGTACAGAGAGGTCATGATCCCGAGCAAGCTGTTCAGGTGCTTTGTGGAAGATTCCTCCAAATGCATTCCTTGCTGGATGCAGTTGGAGCTTTTGGAAAAGGAACGAAGGGAATATCAAAATCTATGCTTGGACGGGAGGAGCTAAGGCCTGGTTGATGTTTTCACCATGTTTCACCCTATCCTCCCTCTGAAAGAATGACTGCGAGCTGGGGATGATCTCAATCTTCTAAGGTCAAATCAACATGCCTAAGATTGGGATGATTGAAACAATAACATTGGCAAGGTGATTGTCTGGATCTTTGCTCACTTGGCATGTCATCATTCTGGGCTAGAACACTTGCCAGCATGCGAAAACAAAAAAAACAACATCTTGGAGACCGCAGCCGCCCAAATTGGAACCATCCAGGGAGCCACAACCCGTGTTTTGTCATCTCTCTCTCTCTCTCTCGCCTCATTTGTTCCAAAAACACAAATTGGGATATCCACCATATGTAGATGAATCCATCTGGAATTCACTGATTCAATCATCTCAAAACATCTAAAACCATTTTGAAACATGTGAAGTCATCTCTAAATCGCCCATTTTATCCACATTTCCACATGCGGCCTTTTCGACCAACCCATATTTTGAGGAGATAGATATCAACAGAAACATAATTGAAATTCCCAAAAATTGCCCAGCTTCTTATGCCATTGGGCACTTGCTGCCAGCTTCTCTCTGCACTCTTCCAGTCGCGCTCGAATCTCTGCGTTGGGATCTGCCTGGAAGGCCTGACAAAGGTGGGCAGGGCCGGTGACACCGGTGACACCGGTGACACCAGTGACAGGGATGGTTTGGAGCAACTTGAAGAATTTATGATAGGCTGATAGGCCGATAGGCCCCAAACCAACCCGCTTTGGGGATGATTCCCCTTTCCACCATTTACGCTTAGCTGGCTTAGCTCGTTGTGAGGTCGCAATAATTAAGCTTCTTAATGCGCGGGAGCAGCTAAACATGGCAGAGGCATGTGAAACACCATCAAACAGAGACTGCCAGCAAAGTGCAGTGTAACAAGTCCATCATGTACAGTACACAGGACATCTCCTCAAATAATCTAAATGGACATGATGGATAAGCTGGGTAATGTTGGTTATCATCGAAATTACAAACTGGTTGTTTCATTTGACCTCCCGGCAAACTATTTCAATGTGAGCGTTTCTTCGGATCATCATCTCAGGCAAGGATGACACAAAAACCTATTTTAGACCACCAATACCAAAAAAGTATTTGATTACATTACCCTGATTGTATCCAGATCCATCAATGTATCATTGTCCACATAATAGCTGAAAACTTTCTTTAAGCCAAGGTATCCATCTGGATATCATCCCTAACCATCATCCCACATCCAAGCTACCCAACTGTAGTCACCATCGATCTTGGAAAAATCAAATATCTCTATTTTCATATCCTAAAAGGAAAGATTTATAAAAATCTGGGATATGGAAATATCGTAAATTGTCGTTTCCATCTCTTTTTCGATGATTTCCCCCATGTCCCAGGTGGTATCCATCCCATCCATCCCCCAGCCCCAGCCCAGCGCCTTCAACAGATCCACCTTCGCCTCCTCCACGGCGCCCTGCCGCAGTTGGGCCACACCCCGGCGGTACAGCGCTTTGCAGTTCCCACTGTCCAGCTCCAGGGCGCTCGTGGCGCTGTAGATGGCCCTCGGATACCTGGGAAAATAGGCTGAAAATCTGAAAACTGTTGGAGTTTTGGTGAATTTTTGCAGTTTTAAGATTGGAAAATGTCAAAACTGTTGGAACTTGGAGTTGAACATCTGGGAAAAGTGACAGAAATCAAGGGATTCTCACACTTTGTCCCTGGCTTATAAGTTTACCTAAGCTTGTAAACCATGGCAAACTTCCCTGACAGTGCAATAACTTATGCTTAAAAACCATCGCTGTTTATGGGACCAATTGAGGTTAAAGCAGCGATTGTTGATGGGGTTGAGGTTTCTGAAGCAAGATAATTTACAATCTTATTCAACGAATAGTTGACAAGCCGAAAACCTGGCAAATCAGCATTTTCTTGTGGCCTTGCAAACAAAATGGATCACACTTGAGAAACGGCAATGGTCAACTGTTTTACAAAGGAAACATGGGGATTTTACAACCAGAAATTTGGGACAAGAAAGGGGTCAAATCACCTGGTTGCTATCTGCCTGTTTTGACCCTGCCTGTTTTGGCTGGGAAGTCCGGGTGGTGCAACTATGAAATTAGTTAGTGGGGGACCTGGCCACAATAGGGAAAAACCAAGAACAAATACGAGCTTCCCGAGTTTCTGGTCAAGTGGGAATCACGGCTTATTTGGGGATGGCACATTAGGATTGTTTTGAAACATGTTGAAAGCAGGCGCCAGGATACTCTTCCACTTTCAAATCGCATTGTGACAAGTTCAAAAAACACGAGAGCCGCAGCTGGTGCATTTCCTCAAACATCTGCTGGGTCACATCCACTTCACCATCACTCTCAATAGGTTTCAGCAACATCAAGGCTTCTTTGTAAGCTTTCCGTGCAGCGTGAAACTCTCCATTCCGCGTCAACTGATTTCCTCGTTCCTTCGCTTCAGTCGCCCTTCTGAGACGCTGCATTTGCACCGATTCCTTGGATTTCTGCAGCTTCCCGGCTCCAAGGCTCTTTCCAACCGTTTCATCCACATTTGGCGCGGTGGCTTCCACCTTTGCTGGGAAAAGATGAATGGTGAATTCCAACAATGCGCCCGGTGGGATGTCATCTCCAGCTCCATCTTCTCCATAAGTCAGACTAGGATGTGCCAGAAACACACTGCGTTCGTTGGGTTTCATGGTGGGAATTGCCAAGTTCCAAGCCTCCAAAACATCTTCCGAACCCAGGGTGAAATCAAAGAGTTCATCCCCTGAAGAATCGATCCTTGGAAAAATTCAGATCCAGACAATCCAGACCCTCAACAAATCAACAAATCGATGGCTGAAACCAGGCAGTTCCAACAAACAAAACGTGCTTTCAGTATATATATATATAAGATGTATTCAAACTGATTGATCACCATGTTTCTCTATGCCAGGCCCTTTGCCATCAACTGACGGTTTCACATATTTCACAGATATACATCACATCGCGTAAAAATCATGTCGTACCATGCCTGGGAACCAATTGAAATCAACAACAGTAACATATGAAAAATGGAATCAATAACTACCAAACAAATCAAGAAACAAACAATCATCAAATGCATAAATCAACACAAACATTCATAAACGGATCCCATCCTCATCTCCTACCAAGATCTTCCAAAATCTGCCAAGACTCAGTTCTCCGACTTCTCCGAGTTCTCCAACCTTTCCAATGGCGTCACCGGCCTCGCGGACCACGCGCGTTTCGTAACGCACTGCCACGGTGCCTCCGGGCCGCGGCGCGTCGCCAGCGCCAGTGGCGACGACGCGCTTCAGCAGCCGTCCGTCGCCCAAGAGGTCGTCGTAGCCACCCATGGAATCGGAGGAAACGGGGCACCAAAATGTGGGGAAATGGGAAAAATATGGTGGGGAGATGCCAATTTGATATTTGAATTCTCCCGTTTTTTGTTTTGGAAGAAATGGCTCCGAACATGTGTAGGAAAGACCCTATCCAACTGGAAAAAGTCCTGGACAGGATATGAAGATGACTTTACTTTGAGCGACCCACACCCTGAAAAACTATCCTGACATAGTTTCTGAATGTTTCTGACATAGCATCTGGAATTAAATATGGCAAATTACTTTACCTCGAGTGATCCCCACACGGACACTTATTTGTCATGGTTTCTGACATATCACCTGGAAATATATATGGCATAATCTTCTGACATTCTATTCTGGCCTTCTATCTGGCATCTATTCTGACATCCTATCTGGCATGTATTCTGACATCTTGTTTGGCATTCTATCTGGCATTCTTTCTGCCATATGTTCAGGTTTTACGTTCTGGCATGCTATCCGGCATTCTCTGACATTCTATTCTGGCATTCTATCTGGCATCTATTCTAACATTCTTTTCTGGCATTCTATCTGGTATATCTTCGGAGATTCTTTGTGGTTGGAGTCCGGCGGGGAACACTTTGATCCGGAGCTTGCGGTGGAGGTCCGGCGGGGAACACTTTGATCCAGAGGTTGCTGTTAGGGCCCGGCGGGGAACACTGCGATCTAGAGCTTGCAGTTGACGTCCGGGGAGGAAGGAGGAAGGAGGAAGGAGGAAGGAGGAGGAAGGAGGAAGGAGGAAGGAGGAAGGAGGAAGGAGGAAGGAGGAAGGAGGAAGGAGGAAGGAGGAAGGAGGAGACGGGCAGGCTGACATAGAATCTGATAACCCTCACCTGGCAGGTGGGGAAAAAACATTGACATTCTATCTGGCACCCTTTCTGGCAAATATTCTGGCGTTCTATCTGGCAATTTTTTTGGCAATCTTTCTGGTCGGGGTCCGTGTGTGCCCAGACTTATCTGGAGCTTGCCATGGGGTTTGGGCCCGTCGGTGCCCAGGCAGAGCTGGCATTCTTGGCATACTTTCTGGCATAACCCTTGGCATTCTATTTGGCATTTTTTCCGGCATATATTCTGACATTCTTTCTGGCATCTATTTTGACATCATTCTATCTCGCATTCTTTACGGCAAGTATTTTGACACTGTCTGGAACCCAAGCTGAAGCAGAGCTGCCTCCGTAGGGTTCGGAGCTGTGCGTGCTCAGACTGCCGTGGAGCTTGCGATAGGTCTCAAGCCTGTGTGCCCAAACTGCCGCGGAGCTCGCCGTGATCTTAGCGAAATTACCCCACTTGAACTTGCACTTGCTGTGAGATCCGGGCCCATTGGTGTCCACAATGACGATGGAAGGAAGAAAGAGAAGGAAGAAGAAGAAGGAAGAGCCACACCTTTCATTAAGATCCAGAGACCTTGTCTGGCAGGTGGGGTGGGAAAATCATATCAGCTGGTGAGTTCACACTGTTTAGCTTTACACCATGGGTATCTGCAACGCGCGGGCTTTTGTCATGTTTCTGTGTACTGGTTGAATTCCGGCTACATTCCATGTTTTTTGGTTGGCTTCAGGCTGACCCCGAGAACTGGCACGTCCTCGTCGGGGAGCCACGCACTAGAGCACCTTGATGTGCTATCGTGAACAAGGTGACAAGGTGGATTTGCCCAGGCATGTTGGGAAAAGCAATGCAATCCAGATGTTGAAGACATAAGACATCATCCTAGCCTCTCGCGCAGTCGCGCAGGTTGACAAATTTGACAAGTGACGCATTAGTTCTTTGAGGTGTTCCCCTATAATTACCACGAAAAGAACCACTAGATTGGACCGAAGGAAAGCTTGCAGGAAATCACTATAAACCACTCTTTTCGTTTTCGTTCCTACAATAGAGCTTGTATAATTATTTCCAAGGCGTTCCACCAGCGCTTTTGCTCCAACCGCGTCTGGGTCTGGTTTCCCAAAAAAGATGGAGCCAACAGTCGCCTTTGGCGAATCCCTGTGGGTCTTGTGCATCGTGGTGCGGCCATGGATGGACCATTGCGCAACCATGGCATGGTTACATGGTTCCCTGCGGTCTGTTGATCAAACTGATCAACTGATGATGGATTGCGGGTCAACGTTGGGATTCTACAGGCATCCAAAAACTACCCAAAACACTACAAATAATCATACTTGCCATAGTTTTTGGCATGAAGATCTTTGATTGAAACACATGAACGGATTAAAGCACCCATTTCGGGAGCTTTGATGATTTTGATCCACACCCATCATGGACCCTGTTGGGGCCTATGGCCTTAGATGTGTGTGATTGGTTCGATGTTCGCAATGTTCGCATCATGTCCGACTTGGACTTCGACCACTTCTTTCTTCTCATCTGGTGCAGGTTTTGGTGGCTCCTCATCGTCAACATCGTCAGGGTACTGCACGTGCACCAAGGGAACGGAACTCATGGATTCAATCCGACACAACCAGTGACACACAGCGGACTCCTCTAACCCAAATTCTGAACGAATTGCCTCGGCTGAAAACAGAGGGGGGTTCCCCTCCCTCTCAGATCCCTTTGGGACGGCTTCAAAACCTTTCAGACTTTCAGATAGGAATTTCACCAAGCGTTTTGATGCAGGTAACTTGTACCTCCTTTGGAGGTACAAAGTTCCAGCCATAGAGCATAAGTCTTCAAAGAAGCTCTGGGTGCAGCGAAGCTGACTACAATTATCCTTGACCTCCACAAATGCATCCACAATAATTGCGAGGAAGAAATTGAGGAGGGTGAAGAACACCTCAAGGCACTACCCGTGTTCGTAATCTGTAAAAGAATGGCCCCGGGGAGAACTAATGGCAAAATAGTTATGGGCCTCCCCGAAATCTACAAGGGATGTGTTCATAAAGGCTGTCTGGAAAGTATGTGAGAATCACACATATATATATATATAAACCTTTTGAACAACAGAGGAAAATTCTTTTGGTTCTGAAACTCCATGGCTTTAGACGGCCTAGAAGTATACCTCCTTCTCAAAAGTTCTGGTGTTTGTTTTTTTGGGGACAGCAGGGCCCCGAGTCTCCAACATACTCCAAACAACTGCAAGCAAGCAGCAATGAGCATGAAAGAGACGGCGTACAACCAGTACATCACAAGGGCGGTCCCCGAAAGCACTTCGACACCGTCAGCATAAATGAATTCTCCAAAAAGCATGCGAACTTGCGCCGAACATGCACTGCCAAAGGTGCCAAAAATGTGAATGCGACCGCCCAAGAGGAAGTTTGCCATAAACGCCAGCATCAAGAAGAGGATGGCGAAAACAAAGAAGAAGTGCATCATGTTGTACAAAGCCTTCTGCACAGTTGATGTTAACATGGCCACACGCGGATGCACAGTGAAGGCCAAGACCATCTGCAGAAACTGCACGTAGAGCACCACATAGGCCGCGACACGGTGACGCTCCAGCCATGACGCTTCTTCATAGATCACACTCTTCACCTGGCATCCCATCGGACCATCTTAAAATTGCCATCAGCTGCTGATTATGGTCAATAATGGTCAATAAAATTTCGACCAATATGTCCAGCCCCCACTATTAGACAATTGTAAACAACAAATAATACTGAAAACTGCTCCCTTTTGGTAACCTTGTGAACTGTAAGGATTGTTGATGAACATTTTTTCCACTTGGTTATAGGGCATCTTCAACACGGGAAATTCACCTCTCCCACCCGTGGCCAACATGGCCAACATGGTGGTTCCATGGCTCGCCTTGAAGTATTCGGCCACGCTGTGGTGCAGGTGTGCCTCATCCATGCCTTCGTTGTTCAGAAAGGTCTGCAGCAGCAGGTCGTATTCGTGCGACATCGGGACTTGTTGTGCCCAGGTGATCAACAAAATCAATGGGTAGACCAGCAGAACCTGGGCTTTTTTCACGCTGTTGGGCAATCGCGCATGAAACAGATAAAAATATATATAAAAACATTTGTCGTACATACATTCATACAGTACATGACATGACATGCCATTACGTTGCATTACGTTACGCATGACATTCCACATGACATTAAACATTACATGACCCAATACATTACACATTACATTCCACATTGCGGAACACATTGCATATTGCAAATTACACGTTGCACATTGCACATTACACATTTTACATTACACATTATTACGGTACACTACATTAGGTTACATTACACCACGTGACAGAACTTGACACACTACATTACATGACAGTACATGACATGACATTACATAAAATTCAAATATTACATTACGTTGGAGTCCATGACATGTGATTGAGTCATTACATGTCATTACTTCACATACAGTACATTCAATACATACATTACATGCACTACATGCGTTGCATACACGACATACATTACATGCACTGCATGCTTTACATGCATTACAAACACTACATGTACTACAAACATGCATTGCATACATTGCCTACACAGCATACATTGTAGGCATGATCCATGCATAATTACATACATGCATGCAAACACATACACACACATACATACATACATACATACATACATTACATTACATTACATTACATTACATACATACATACACACACATATCTATGTTTTTACTAAACCTATGCGCACAAACGCACACACATACATACATACATACATACATACATACATACATACATACATACATACATACATACATACATACATACATACATACATACATGTATACATATAAATATATATAAGTTATCTGTGTTTATCGAACAAGCAAACATATGTATATGCAAACGCACACGCACACACACACACATATATATATATATACACACATATATATATAAATATACAAATATAATTACCAAAGATCTATCTATCTATATATATATATAGAAATGTAAATATACATCAATTAACTAATTAAATAAATAAATAATAATACATGTATATATATTTACATATATATAAAGGTCAAGAGAGAGAGAGAGAGAGCGAGAGAGAGAGAGAGAGAGAGAGAGAGAAGGAAGAGAGACGACCTGCGCTTTCATAATCCGTTTTTTGGTGTGGGGACATGAGAAAAGAAAACAGACTGAAAGCCGTGATCAAAGCACGATCCTGGAAATGATCTCATAGAGCATCAGCCCCAGGTTGTACTTCTCTGGATGGAGACATAGGAAGGCCACCAGAGATACCATACTGATGAAGGCGCCCACACAGGTGGTGATCAAAAAGCCTTGAAACTCCGATGCCGTGTCCCGTGTCAAGTCACGATACGTGACCATGTGCACCGCTCCCTCAACGTTGCCCGCGAAATCGAATGAGAACTCCACAGTCAATGAAGTGAACATCTCCTGTTCATCCCAAAACCATTGGGTTTTCCCATTCGAAATGACAAGTTCTTGGGGCCAAGAAATCTCCATGGGGGTGGATGACATGCAAGTTTCTTTCAATGGCAATTGGGTGTTCCAATGTATCATCCCAGCTATTGGTCATCAAAAAAAATGGGATTGTGAAAGGGGCTTAGCATCCAGGATATCCAAGATAGGATTGGGAAAAAGGACGAAACGTTATGAAACCAGCGACAAGTTTCCAAGTCTTCGGTGTAGACCATGGTGCTCATTGAAACTTTGTCTGTTTGGATGTCGATCCAACCTACCTTTTTCATTGATGTCAAAATCTTTTCGCTCTCAATCAGCATCTCCGCATAAACCGTTTCTCCATGAAAGGATTGCTTATGACCAACTCCCACCATTCCATCAACACACCGGTGGGCTGGCGTGTGCTCAGGACAGCTCAGGTACAAAGCATATTCCGAAGTTTGCTGGGAGGAACGATCGATGCATTTCAAGATTTTACCTGGTTGCTGGCTGCTGGTTTCAAGTTTCAGCCTACCCTAACGCATTAGTCAGTTTGATCACCATCCAATTTTTGGGATGCAAAACCAAAAAAATGAGGCCAGTTACCATTCTTCTTCCCATCCAGCGCTGGTAAAAGAGTGAGAACTGGATTGTAATTCTGGCTCTGAACCACTGTTGCGAAGCCATGACACTCAGCCTCTTTCAAACGAGTCTGATAAAGCACGGAGGGCAGCAAAGTGGTTTGTGGCTTGCCGAACCTCTTCATCCGTTCATACTCAAAAGGGGCGCAGTATCCACACGTCTTGGGGCAATGCAAAATGCCTAAATCGATGGTACAGGCATGGCTGGCATCTTCTTCACATGTCACCTCGTGGTTTGTTCATCTGGACGAAATAAAAATCACATGTCCAGTCGGATCATCCTCCCAGTAGGATGATGAATAATAAAGATGATGAAAGCAAACAAACATTGACACCACCAGCCATGTTTACCGAATAATTTTCAGTTGCAACTTCATTTTTACTTAGCAAACTCTCCATTTGTTCGTCACATGGAACAGAATCAAATCAAGTGGGACCATCCTTTCAAATAAGATGGCACACAAATCAAAATAAAAAACGGCACCACCAGCCATGTTTACCGCTTAATTTGACATTGCGATCTATTTTTCTCCACATCACTGTGCGGGGTTCTTGTTTTTCGCTTGGATCACGCCGGGGCACCCCCTCCGCCTCCTCCTCCTCCGCCGCCTCCTCCTCACTCACTCACACTCACTCACGCTCACTCACACTCACTGACGCTCACTCTCACTCTCACGCTCACGCTCACGCTCACTCTCACTCTCACTCTTCACACTCACTCTCACTCTCACTCTCGCTCTCACTCCCACTCTCACTCTCACTGTCACTCTCACTCTCACTCACTCTCCCTCACACGCACTCACACTCACTCACACTCACTCTCACTCACTCTCACTCTCACTCTCACTCACACTCACTCACACTCACACACTCACTCACTCTCGCTCACTCTCACTCACTCTCACTCAATCTCACTCAATCTCACTCAATCTCGATCGCACTCACTCTCATTCACTCTCACTCACTCTCACTCACTCTCACTCACTCTCACTCAATCTCACTCACACTCTCACTCACTCACACTCTCACTCACTCACACTCACACTCACACTCTGACTCACTCACACTCACACTCACACTCACACTCTCACTCACTCTCACTCTCACTCTCACTCTCTCTCACTCTCACTCTCACTCTCACTCTCACTCACTCACACTCACACTCTCACTCTCACTCTCACTCTCACTCACTCTCACTCTCACTCTCACGCTCACGCTCACGCTCACGCTCACGCTCACGCTCACGCTCACGCTCACGCTCACTCTCACTCTCACGCTCACGCTCACGCTCACGCTCACGCTCACTCTCGCTCTCACTCTTCACACTCACTCTCACTCTCACCCTCACTCTCACTCCCACTCTCACTCTCACTCTCACTGTCACTCTCACTCTCACTCTCACTTTCACTCACTCTCACTCACTCTCCCTCACACGCACTCACACTCACACTCACTCTCACTCACTCTCACTCTCACTCTCACTCACACTCACTCACACACTCACTCACTCTCGCTCACTCTCACTCACTCTCACTCAATCTCACTCAATCTCGATCGCACTCACTCTCATTCACTCTCACTCACTCTCACTCACTCTCCCTCAATCTCACTCACACTCACACTCACACTCTCACTCACTCACACTCTCACTCACTCACACTCACACTCTCACTCACACTCACACTCACACTCTCACTCTCACTCGCACTCTCACTCTCACTCGCACTCTCACTCTCACTCTCACTCTCACTCTCACTCTCACTCTCACTCTCACTCTCACTCTCACTCTCACTCTCACTCTCACTCTCACTCACGCTCACGCTCACGCTCACGCTCACGCTCACTCACTCACTCTCACTCACTCTCACTCTCTCACTCACACTCTCTCTCTCTCTCTCCCTCTCTCTCTCTCTCTCTCTCACTCACTCACTCACTCAGTCAGTCAGTCAGTCAGGTGCAGTGCGGCTGCCCTTCGCGTGGCAGGCGCAGTACACAGAGCCTTCCAGCGGAGCTGCCGCGCGTGTGGCCGCCGCTGGGCCGCGGCTGCTTTCTGTGTGGCAGGCGCGCAAGAGCCTCCAGGAAGATTTCGCGTGGCAGGCGCAGTACACAGAGCCTCCAGGAGGAGTTGCGGCGCGCGTGGCCGCCGCTGGGCCGCGTGTGGCAGGCGCAGTACACAGAGCCTCCAGGAGGAGTTGCGGCGCGCGTGGCCGCCGCTGGGCCGCGGCTGCCTTTCGTGTGGCAGGCGCAGTACACAGAGCCTCAGGAGGAGTTGCGGCGCGCGTGGCCGCCGCTGGGCCGCGGCTGCCTTTCGTGTGGCAGGCGCAGTACACAGAGTCTTGAGGCGGAGTTGCGGCGTGCGTGGCCGCCGCTGGGCCGTGGTCGCCTTTAGTGTGGCAGGCGCAGTACACAGAGCCTCCTGGACGAGCTGCGGCGCGTGTGGCCGCCGCTGGGCCGCGGCTACCTTTCGTGTGGCAGGCGCAGGACACAGAGCCTCCACATCACCTTTGACACACTATCTTTCGCACACCACTTTGTTACCCACCAACTTTGACACACCATCTGTCACACCACTTTGTCACACACACTATCTTTCACACACAAATTTGTCTCACACCATCTTTCAGACACCATCCTTGACACACCAGCTTTGACACACCATCTTTCACACCACTTTGTCCCACACCATCTTTCACACACAACTTTGTCACACACCATCTTGCACAAACCACTTTGTCACACACACCACTTTGTCACACACCATCTTTGATGGAAAATCTTTCACACACATCTTTGCCACACACCATCTTTCACACACCACTTTGTCACACACAATCTTTCACACACAACTTTGTCACACACCATCTCTCACACACAACTTTGTCACACACCATCCTTCACCACACCATCTTTGTCACACACCATCTTTCACGCAGACAACTTTGTCACACACCATCTTTCCTCCACCTCTTCCTTTGTCTTTCCTTCCTTCACCGTTCCCGCAACAACATTTCTTGCTCATTATTGGAAGAAGTTGACTTGTGGGGTTATCCGGTCCTTTTGTTATCTCCTCTGCTCGGGCTGGTCGCCGGGAAGCAAGAGTCAGCCAAAGGGAGGTCGGCACCACGCGGCTGCAACTGAGGTGGCGCGAGCCTGCTGCTGGGGGCAGCTGACCACCGCGGAGGAAGTGACCTGGACTGCCTGGTGCGCACGTTGGGCTTAGGGTTGCGAGGGTGCGCAAGAAGGCAGGAGCTATTGCTGGGGACGACGCAACACCGACGGTACAGAGAGCCTAGCCGTGGCGATCAAGCCGGCCCTGACAGCCAGTGACCCGTAGCGGTTGCGGGAGAGATGGGACAGTGGTGGGACGATGGTGATGTGGTCGTTTCGTTGGAGAGCGGCGGGGCGCTGCCAGGTGTAGGGCGAGAGGCGGGTTTGAAGAACGTGCCCGCGCCAAACCCACATCGCCACCAATCATGTGAAGCAAGGAGTCCCAAATGGCGCGATCATGGGCTTGTGCGTAGCCCCTGCTAAGGAAGGAGGAAAGTTGCGTAGGAGGTGCTGCGCTCATTTCTAATGACAATAAGTTGCCAGTAGTCCAGCACAAGGCGGTGGCGGAAGTTTCAAAAATAGGGAACCTATAGGAGAGGTTGGTTGTTGTGAATCACGGATGGCAGAGCGAAGCCACTGATGGACCGACAGGTGGTTGAGGTCTCTTCTCTTTCTCTCTCTTTCTCTGAACATCTACCTCCCTACCCACCTATCTATCTATGTATCCATCTCTCTCTCTCTCTCTCTCTGGCTATCTATCTATATAGCTATCTATCTATCTATCTATCTATCTTTCTACTTAATTGTCTATCTGTCTATCTGTCTATCTATCTGTCTATCTGTCTATCTGTCTATCTATCTATCTACCTATCTATCTATCTATCTAGCTACCTGTCTCTCTATCTATCTGTCTATCTGTCTACCTGTTTATCTATTTATCTATCTATCTAGCTAGCTAGCTAGCTATCTATCTCATCTGTCTATCTAACTGTGTATCCATCTATCTAACTACCTACCTACCCATCTATCCACCCACCTATCTCTCTCTCTCCCTCTCTCTTTTTCATCTGTCTATCTGTCTAGCTGTCTATCTGTCTACCTGTCTATCTGTCTATCTGTCTATCTGTCTATTTATCTATCTATCTATCTGTCTATCTGTCTACCTGTCTATCTGTCTATCTGTCTATCTGTCTATCTGTCTATCTATCTATCTATCTATCTGCCTATCTGTGGTGCAGTGTCATTCAGTGTAGTGTAGTGTAGTGGAGTCTAGTGTAGTGTAGTGTAATTAATGTAGTGTAGTGTAGCGTAGTGTAAATATAGTATTGTAGTTGTAGTTGTAGTTGTTGTTATAGTAGTAGTTGTAGTTAGTGTAGTGTAGTGTAGTGAAAGGTAGTGCAGTGTAGCGTAGTGGAATGTAGTGTAGTGTAGTGTAGTGTAGTGAGGTGTAGTGGAATGTAGTGTAGTGTAATGTAGGTAGCGAAATTTAGTGTAGTTGTAGTGTAGTGGAGTGTAGTTGTGTAGTTGTAGTTTTAGTTGTAGTGGGGTCTAGTGTAGTATAATGTAGTGTAGTGTAGTGGAAGGTAGCGTAGTGTAGTGTAATGTAGTGGAGTGTAGTGTAGTGTAGTGTAATTAAATGTAATTGAATGTAATTGAGTGTAGTGTAGTGGAGTGTAGTGTAGTGGAATGTAGTGAAGGTGTAGTTGTAGTTGTAGTGTAGTGTATTGGAGTGTAGTGTGGTGTAGTGGTGGTTGTAGTTAAAAAACTACAAAACCCTCACGCTTTGCTCATTTTTGACAAGGTGCACAATCCCTTGCGCCTGCCACGCGAAACGACATCTCAACCTCCAAAAGTGGTCCGAGCATGGTGTGTTTTGTAATTTTGACTTCGAAATGTGCTTCGCGCCACAACGGCGTGCACTTTTTCGACATCTCAACTGCCAAAAGTGGCCTGGACCTGGTGTAAATTTTGCACATTTTGACTTCGAAATGTGCTTACAACGGCGTGCAATTTTTCATCTCTCATCTGGCCAGCTGGCTCCGCGCCCGCCGCTTTAGCGAGCCTAACCCTCCGGAGCCACAAATCATTGTTTCGCGACTTTCCTACCTTTTCGCGCACCTGGATCTTCTTTCTTCTGCTCTTCTCTCTTCTACTCTTTCTCTTCTCTCTGACCCTTTCCATCTCTGCTTTTCATCTGTCCATATTGTCGGAAGTTTGACTTCTAAACTTCCTTCGGCAAATCATAAAATTGAAATTTCATATGTTTTTCAAACTTTGAATTGAAACTTTTTTATGGCGCATAAACTTGCCATTCAACTCATGTCCAGTCACATTGGGCTTATCCTCTTCGATTTGATACGCGGTGTCGTTGTCTTCACAGGCGGGATACGCATGGGTGGCCGTCCCAGAACCCGAGCCGGCCAAACGGCGGTGGCCGCCTGGCAGGGTGTGAATGGGTGGAACAAATTATGCGAAACGGAAAAAAACCTGAAAAACACCTTCAACTGGGAAAAGTTGTATTTAAAAAATGTACACACACACACAACTCTCTCTCTCTCTCTCTGTGTTTAGTTGGCCTACGTTGGATATCTTTTTCCCGTCACACCATCCCACGCCTGAACTGCCGGCACTCGTTTCATTGGTCCACAACGGCGCACTCTGCAAGCCCAAGGCTGTGAACCGGTGACTGCTGCAACTGGTGCGGGGAACCATGTAGTGATCATCCCATTGATATTGAAAATAGCGATGCTCACACCAATAGTTAGGAGAAGTTGGCATCAGCTCCCGGTTTTTCTCTTCAAAACTCTTGATGAAGCTGTAGATGCCCTCGACATCTGCAATGGATTGCACCTGGTCCAGTCCGAAATGTGCCTCCAAGTGACGATGGATGGCGGACGTCTCGGTGGCCGGACTGATGATGCTGATGGCGACCAAAAAGCAGAACAAACACAGCAAAAACAGCGGCATCCTGGGCGCCGCATGGCGCTGGGCAATGGCGGGCAATGTGGAAAATGGGGAACCGTGGCAATAATGGCACTTAAGTGACTATGTTTGAAGATGTTTATGTCAGGCCGAAAGACCTTTCCAAAAGTGCAAGTGCAATGATTCACAAACACAAAAAAACACATTGGGATGATCCTAATAACAATTTAGAGTGAGATTATAGTGGAATATCAGATATCCCCAGCTATACAACGGCAATTCTCCACCTAGCACTTTCCAGTGTGGCCTAACTTTCCGCACATCCCAGGGGTCTGAACTGTGCCAAACTGTGCCAAGCATCTGCTGCATAAAACCCAGAAGGCCATCTTCGAGCTTGGCTCGTTCCAGTGCGATGTCGGCTCTGAAACGGACGTGCGCAAATTTTGCGAGGAGCTCATCAGGAGAAATCTTCCTGAGATTGTCACAGTGACGCCTGTTTGGCTGGAACCTCAATAGAGTTTCGGTTCACAAACAATATGGATTGTAATGTACGTTCCTGGTAACCTTCCGCCCTTCCTTTTCCATTGTCAAACCTCCATTTGGGATGCCCCTCGTGATATCACAATCTCTTGGCGATTTGTTGACTTGTTGCTACTTGTTCTCCTGCTTTCATTCCTCAGACGAGCCTTGAACTCAAACACAATCCCATCGACATCCCAAATAGATATAGATACAGAAATCGAATGAAATCGATAGATAGATAGATAGATGGATAGATAGATAGACAAACAGATAGATAGAAAGAAAGAAAGATAGATAATGACAGATATATACATATATAATTGTACATATACTTATACCTTTTAAAATCATATTATACATATACATGTACTTACCGACTTCCGACAATATGGACAGATGGAAAAGCAGAGGTGGGAAGAGTTAGAGAAGGGAAGAGCGGAAGAGAGAAGATCAAAGAAGCGAGAAAGAGTGAGAAGAAAGAAGATGCAGTCGTGCGAAAAATGCGATTCACTGTTTTTTTCCAATGATTTGGTGGCTTCGGAGGGTCGAAAAGTAAGCTCGCTAAAGCGGCGGGTGCGGAGCCATGTGGCCAGATGAGAGACGAAAATTGCACGCCGTTGTGGTGTGAAGCACATTTCGAAGTCAAAATGTGCAAAGCACACCAGATACACCAGGTTCGGACCACTTTTGGACGTTTAGCTGTCGAAAAAGTGCACGCCGTTGTGGCGCGAAGCACATTTCCAAGTCAAAAGTGCAAAAAACTGGCGTCCAGATGTCGTTTTGCGTGGCAGGCGCACGGGATTCTGCATGTTGTCAAAAGTAAGCAAAATGTGAGGGTTTTGTGGCAGTTTCAACTACGACCACTACACCACACTACACTTGACTACACTACACTACACTACACCACTAATTACGATACACTACATTAGACTACACTACACTAAACTCAATTACACTACACTACACTGCACTACACTACACCACACTACACGACAGGACGCGACACGACACTAACACAACTGCAACTACACTACATTACACTACGATACTCTACACGAATTACATAACTCTACACTATACCCCACTTGACTACACTACACTACATTCAATTCCACTACTAAACTACACTACAGCTACAACTACAACTACAACTGCGCTGCATTACTTACACTGCACATTAGACTACACTAATTACAGCACAACAGTACACTAGACTACACTACACTACACTGCACTGCACTACACTACGCTACACTACACTAACTATAACTACAACTACGACTACACTACATAACACTACACTACACAACACTACCCTACATTACATTACATTACACTGCACGCATTACACCACCACAAATGTAACTGCAACTGCACGGCACTAATTACACCAGGCCACAACTATTACAGCTGCACTACGCCACACTACATCCAGCAGTTGTGGGTGAGGTGACCGACCAGGTGACCACTGCAACCATTGTAACCACTCCAAAAATCACAACCCCAACCATCTTTCAGTCCATCAGTGGATTCGCTCTTCCATCCGTGATTCACAACAACCAAATACAACCAACCTCCCCTATAGGTTTCCTATTTTTGAAACTTCCGCCACCGCCTTGTGCGGTACTACTGGTACCATTTTTTAAGAAAGCCTAGTTAGAAAACTTCCGTGTTACGGACGAGTGTCATGGCCAGCATTTCCATCATCATGTCAACCACATCGTCATGTCAACCATCCACCATCAAGTAGTGGGGAAGTGTAACAGTTCGGCCGTGCGGTAATTCACAGGTGGAAATGGAAACACTACCGGGCGAGAAACCATGTTTTTTTCGTGTAAAGTGGCTTCCGTGGTCGCCGGAGTATGGTCTCTGTTTCCGCGGGTTCGTTGCTCGATCTGGGAAAGGTGCCGACAAAAAGTGCACAGGATTGTGGCGAGATCTCGGTTTGCACTTCAAAATGTTAAAGAAACTGACGGTTTCGGAGCACTTTTAGAAGATAAGGTCGGCAAAAAGTGAACAGGACTGTAGCCAGCGCTCGATTTCATATAAAAATCGTAAGAAACTGTCACGTTCGGAGCACTTTTGGAAGATAAGGTCGGCAATCCCAGACTGTAGCGAGAGCTCGATTTTACATAAAGTTTGTGAAACTGTCACGTTCGGAGCAGGCCTGAAAAGTGCGCTGTTGACGGTGCGCAAATGGTGGTCGGTTTGGTGCGCTCCTGCTATGCGGGTTTCCAACTGGCGGTGACAAAACGCATTGGCACGGCACGGCTGCACGCAGCAAAGCATGAGTGATGCTGCGGCGCTGGAGGTTGCTAAACGCATTGTAACAGCTGCGCAAAAGGTAGCTCATGATCATAGTCCTACTCTTGTGCTACGCAGGATTGCAGACGGAGTAGGGTTGGTTTAGATATTTATTTATGTAGTGTATCTTAGGGATTGTTTAGGCTTGAGAAGGAGAAAGAAAAAACAAGGAAAGCAAAGAAGCAGAAAAGCCGAGAAGCAAAGAAGCAGGGAAAAGCAGAAAAACAAAAAGCAGGGAACCAGAAACCCAAGAAAAAATACCAAAACGGAAAACAAATAATTCCATCAAAAAAAACCCAATGATATAATTGATCTAACCAGATACAGTGTAATCTGTCTGATTCTTTCCGAATCTCGAAAGAAATCACCGAGGATCCCATCGTTGTCAGCATCCAGCTTCCCCGGCGCCGCCGTGGCGCTCTTGTGCTTGAAACTGTGACCCTTCACGCCCTTCGCCATGGCTGCGACGCGCTTCGGCCGTTGCCCAACCGGTAGTGGGGAAACAATGGAATCATGGGAAACAAGGTGAGAAATTGCAAGTCAATGTGATTTAGTTCATTTTAGCTGATTGATCTGTTGAACGATCCCAGTTGCAATGGATTGTGGCGAAATTGTTCGGGCTTCATGGTGCTTTACTGTGGCTTTACCTTTGGGCCTCGAAGCAAATTTTGTTGCATGAAAGCTGTGCTGCATGGTGTTGCGTGGGGCTTTTTCTGGTTGGTTTGAATCCCTGTGCAACGTATTGGCCACTTGGGATCATGATTCCATTTTCGAGGATGGAAACTATAGAATAGTTGAAACCACCCCCCAGCCATGCTCACTGATTGAGATCCAACTACATTCCATGTTTTATGGTTGGCCCCACCAGGCTGACCCCGAGAACTGGCACGTCCTCGTCGGGGAGCCACGCACTAGAGCACCTTGATGTGCTATCGTGAACAAGGTGACAAGGTGGATTTGCCCAGGCATGTTGGGAAAAGCAATGCAATCCAGATGTTGAAGACATAAGACATCATCCTAGCCTCTCGCGCAGTCGCGCAGGTTGACAAATTTGACAAGTGACGCATTAGTTCTTTGAGGTGTTCCCCTATAATTACCACGAAAAGAACCACTAGATTGGACCGAAGGAAAGCTTGCAGGAAATCACTATAAACCACTCTTTTCGTTTTCGTTCCTACAATAGAGCTTGTATAATTATTTCCAAGGCGTTCCACCAGCGCTTTTGCTCCAACCGCGTCTGGGTCTGGTTTCCCAAAAAAGATGGAGCCAACAGTCGCCTTTGGCGAATCCCTGTGGGTCTTGTGCATCGTGGTGCGGCCATGGATGGACCATTGCGCAACCATGGCATGGTTACATGGTTCCCTGCGGTCTGTTGATCAAACTGATCAACTGATGATGGATTGCGGGTCAACGTTGGGATTCTACAGGCATCCAAAAACTACCCAAAACACTACAAATAATCATACTTGCCATAGTTTTTGGCATGAAGATCTTTGATTGAAACACATGAACGGATTAAAGCACCCATTTCGGGAGCTTTGATGATTTTGATCCACACCCATCATGGACCCTGTTGGGGCCTTTGGCCTTGTGTGTCACCTTGTGTGTCACCTTGTGTGTCACATCAGCTCGGTGTTCACAATGTTCGCACCATCTCCGACTTGGCCTTCCTTGCTTCGGTGGCCTATGGCGTCTGGAGCTAGTCTTGGTGGCTCCTCGCGCTCATTTTGCTCGTCAACATCGTCATGGTGGTAGTGCACCAAGGGAACGGTGCTCATGGATTCAACCCGACACAACCAGTGACACACAGCGGATTCCGTTAACCCAAATTCTGAGCGAATTGCTTCGGCTGAAAAAAGAGGAAATTTTCCATCAGTCTGAGATCCCTTTGAAAGGGCTTCAAAACCTTTCAGACTTTCGGATAGGAATTTCACCAAGCGTTTTGATGCAGGTAACTTGTACTTCCTTTGGAGGTACAAAGTTCCAGCCATAGACCACAAATCTTTAAAGAAGCTCTGGGTGCAGCGAAGCTGACCACAACTTTCCTTCACCTCCACAAATGCATCCACAATAATTGCGAGGAAGAAATTGAGGAGGGTGAAGAACACCTCAAGGCACTCCCCGTGTTGGTAATCTGAAAAAGAATGGCCCCAAGGAGAACTGGCAAAATAGCAACCTCTCCGAAATCTAAAAGGGATGCGTAGCTACCCATAACAATGGAAGAATTCTTTTGGTTCAAAGTTAACACTCTCTTGATGTGTCCGCTTTTGTGCGACTCCATGGCCTTTAGATGGCCTAGAACTGCCTAGATGGTGACAGGAGGGCCCCCTGGATTCCAACATACTCCAAACAACCGCAAGCAAGCGGCAATGAGCATGAAAGAGACGGCGTACAACCAGTACATCACAAGGGCGGTCCCCGAAAGCACTTCGACACCATCAGCATAAATGAATTCTCCAAAAAGCATGCGAACTTGTGCCGAACATGCACTGCCAAAGGTGCCAAAAATGTGAATGCGACCGCCCAAGAGGAAGTTTGCCATAAACGCCAGCATCAAGAAGAGGATGGCGAAAACAAAGAAGAAGTGCATCATGTTGTACAAAGCCTTCTGCACCGTTGATGTTAACATGGCCACCCGTGGATGCACATTGAAGGCCAAGACCATCTGCAGAAACTGCACGTAGAGCACCACATAGGCCGCGACACGGTGACGCTCCAGCCATGACGCTTCTTCATAGATCACACTCTTCACCTGGCATCCCATCTGTCAATGGACCAGCTTAAAATTGCCATCAGCTGCTGATTATGGTCAATAATGGTCAATAAAAATTCGACCAATAGATGTCCAGCCCCCACTATTATTGTGAACATTTTTTTCCACTTGGCTATAGGGCATCTTCAACACGGGAAATTCACCTCTCCCACCCGTGGCCAATATGGCCAACATGGTGGTTCCATGGCTCGCCTTGAAGTATTCGGCCACGCTGTGGTGCAGGTGTGCCTCATCCATGCCTTCGTTGTTCAGAAAGGTCTGCAACAGCAGGTCGTATTCGTGCGACATCGGGACTTGTTGTGCCCAGGTGATCAACAAAATCAATGGGTAGACCAGCAGAACCTGGGCTTTTTCACGCTGAAACATAATGAAACATACCAAAAAAATGTGTATAATTATATGGATAATAAAGATACAGGGAGATGACCTGCACCTTTTTTTTTCATCCACTATTTGGTGTGGGGACATGAGAAAACATACTGAAAGCCGTGATCAAAGTACGATCCTGGAAATGATCTCATAGAGCATCAGCCCCAAGTTGTACTTCTCTGGATGGAGACATAAGAAGGCCACCAGAGATACCATACTGATGAAGGCGCCCACACAGGTGGTGATCAAAAAGCCTTGAAACTCCGACGCCGTGTCCTGTGTCAAGTCACGATACGTGACCATGTGCACCGCTCCCTCAACGTTGCCCGCGAAATCGAATGAGAACTCCACAGTCAATGAAGTGAACATCTCCTGTTCAACCCACAAGTCACAAAGATGTGGGGGCTGTCCTACAACCGGTGGTCCCAAAACAATAGGGTTTTCGCATTCGAAATGACAAATTCTTGGGGCCAAGAAATCTTCATGGGGGTGGATCACATGCGGCTCTCTGTCATTGGGGTGTCCCAATTTATCATCCAAGTGAGTGGTAATCAAGATAATGGGGAAACCACTCGTGAAGGGGGCGCCCCAGTTTCAGATATCCAAGATAGGATTGGGAAAAAGGACGAAGCGTTATGAAACCAGCGGCAAGTTGCCAAGTCTTCGGTGTAGACCATGGTGCTCATTGAAACTATGTCTGTTTGGATGTCGATCCAACCTACCTTTTTCATTGATGTCAAAATCTTTTCGCTCTCAATCAGCATCTCCGCATAGACCGTTTCTCCATGAAAGGATTGCTTATGACCAACTCCCACCATTCCATCAATACACCGGTGGGCTGGCGTGTGCTCAGGACAGCTCAGGTACAAAGCATATTCCGAAGTTTGCTGGGAGGAACGATCGATGCATTTCAAGATTTTACCTGGTTGCTGGTTTCAAGTTTCAACCTGTCCCAACACATTAGTCAATGTGATCACCATCCAGATCCAATTTTTGGGATGCAGAAGAAAACACAAAAATTGAGGCCAGTTACCTTTCTTCTTCCCATCCAGCGCTGGTAAAAGAGTGAGAACTGGATTGTAGTTCTGGTTCTGAACCACTGTTGCGAAGCCATGGCACTCAGCCTCTTTCAAACGAGTCTGATAGAGCACGGAGGGCTCTAAAGTGATCTGTGGCTTGCCGAACCTCTTCATCCGTTCATACTCAAAGGGGGCGCAGTATCCACACGTCTTGGGGCAATGCAAAATGCCTAAATCGATGGTACAGGCATGGCTGGCATCTTCTTCACATGTCACCTGGTGGTTTGTTCATCTGGACGAAATAAAATGTCCAGTCGGATCATCCTCCCGCTAGGATGATGAAGAAAGATGATGAAAACAACCAAACATTGACACCACCAGCCATGTTTACCGAATAATTTTCAGTTGCAAACCTCATTTTTACTTGGCAAACTCTCCATTGATGCCTAATACACTAGTAAAATCTTTCAAAATTAAATTGAAACCATCTGTGGCAATTTATGGCGCATAAACTTGCCATTCAACTCATGTCCAGTCACATTGGGCTTATCCTCTTCGATTTGATACGCGGTGTCGTTGTCTTCACAGGCGGGATACGCATGGGTGGCCGTCCCAGAACCCGAGCCGGCCAAACGGCGGTGGCCGCCTGGCAGGGTGTGAATGGGTGGAACAAAGTATGCTAAACGGAAAAAATCTGAAAAACACCTTCAACTGGGAAAAATTGTATTTAAAAAATGTACACACACACAGACACACACACACACACAGACACACAGACACACACAAGCCCCTTTGCAGTCGCGAGCACTGCACGCAAGATCAGTTCATTCTGATCTAGGTTTCAGCCGCAGCCACTGCCCCACGACGTTTTGGGTACGTTGTTCGCTTGCACGGCGGTGGTGGCTGCTTGGAGGCGTCGTTGCTGTGCGCCTGGCAACTGGATTCGCTGCTGATCTCGCTGACCACTTTTCGAATCCTTGTCACCTTGGCGATTCTTCTTGCGTGCGACACTATATCATTGTGTTTCTCTTTGATCTGGGGTGGGCTCCCGTTGATGACTTCACTGGCCCTTTGCGTAACACTTTTGCTCCTTGTCATTGTCACGAGTGAATTTTTGGGCACTCACCTGCTGCTTGGCTTGCTTGGCTTGCTTGACTTGCTTGGCTTGCTTGGCTTGCTTGGCTTGCTTGGCTTGCTTGGCTTGCTTGACTTGCTTGGCTTACTTGGCTTGCTTGGCTTGCTTGGCTTGCTTGGCTTGCTTGGCTTGCTTGGCTTGCTTGGCTTGCTTGGCTTGCTTGGCTTGCTTGGCTTGCTTGGCTTTGCTTGGCTTGCTTCCTTGCTTCCTTGCTTTCCTTGCTTTTCTTGCTTTCCTTTCTTTCCTTGCTTCCTTGATTCCTTGCTTCCTTGCTTCCTTGCTTGCTTGCTTGGTTGCTTGGTTGGTCGGTCGGTGGGTCGGTCGGTCGGTTGGTTAGTTAGTTCGTTGGGTTTTTGGTTGGTTGGTTGGTTGGGTGGTTGGTTGGTTGGGTGGTTCGGTGGATGGATGGAGGTATTGTTGTTGTTATTGATGATGTTGTTGTTGTTAATTTCTCGGTTGTTTGGCTTGCTTGGCTTGCTTGGCTTGCTTGGCTTGCTTGGCTTGCTTTGCCTTGCCTTGCCTTGCCTTGCGTTGCGTTCCGTTCCGTTCCTTTCCTTTCCTTTCCTTGCTTTGCTTTGCTTTGCTTTGCTTTGTTTTGCTTTGCTTTGCTTTGCTTGCTTTGTTTGCTTGCTTTGTTTGCTTGCTTTGTTTGCTTGCTTTGTTTGCTTGCTTTGTTTGCTTGCTTTGTTTGCTTGCTTTGTTTGCTTGCTTTGTTTGCTTGCTTTGTTTGCTTGCTTTGTTTTCTTGCTTTGTTTGCTTGCTTTGTTTGCTTGCTTTGTTTGCTTGCTTTGTTTGCTTGCTTTGTTTGCTTGCTTGCTTGCTTGCTTCCTTGCTTCCTTGCTTCCTTGCTTCCTTGCTTGCTTGCTTGCTTGGTTGCTTGGTCGGTCGGTCGGTTGGTTAGTTTGTTGGGTTTTTGGTTGGTTGGTTGGGTGGTTCGTTGGTTGGGTGGATGGATGGAGGTGTTGTTGTTGTTGTTGTTGATGTAATTGTTGTTGTTGTTGTTGTTTGTTGTTGTTGTTGTTTGTTGTTGTTTGTTGTTGTTGTTTGTTGTTGTTGTTTGTTGTTGTTTGTTGTTGTTTGTTGTTGTTTGTTGTTGTTTGTTGTTGTTTGTTGTTGTTTGTTGTTGTTTGTTGTTGTTTGTTGTTGTTTGTTGTTGTTTGTTGTTGTTTGTTGTTGTTTGTTGTTGTTTGTTGTTGTTTGTTGTTGTTTGTTGTTGTTTGTTGTTGTTTGTTGTTGTTTGTTGTTGTTTGTTGTTGTTTGTTGTTGTTGTTTGTTGTTGTTTGTTGTTGTTGTTGTTGTTGTTGTTGTTTGTTGTTGTTTGTTGTTGGTTGTTGTTTGTTGTTGTTGTTGTTGTTGTTGTTGGTTGTTGTTGGTTGTTGTTTGTTGTTGTTGTTGTTGTTGTTAGTTTCTCCGTTGTTTGTTGGCAATTCTATTTTTTCTTCTAATATATGTTTGTGGGGATTTGTTACTACTTACCATGAACCCCCCGCTGTTGGAAACAGCGGGCCGACCCTAGTATTATATAATATATATGAAATTATATTATTTTATACCGATATAAAATTAATAATTAAATAAATTTAAATAAAATTTATAAATTTCAAATATATTGTAGGTAAACCAATATTAAAAAAATAATTATATATATATATATTTTCATTTTTTTTTTAAAATATATTTTAATCTATCAAAATATTTTATATATTTATAATTATATATATATTAATTTATATATATATTAATTAAATTATAAATATATTTAAAATATAATTTCAAAATGCAAAAAATAAATATTAAAAAATACAGGCGATATATATATATATATATGCAAATTTAATCCGAATTTCAACAAATTTCATTGTATAAAAATAATATATTTTGATCAATAAATTATTATTTAATTTCTTTAAAGAAATTTGTGATATATAAGTGATATAAGTAAAATCACCTTTATTTGTGGATATAATGGTTATTTTTAATTTTAGGATATATATGTACTGGACTGAAATCTAAAGTTAATCCAATAAATTTTGTTATCCAACCATTTCTTGGAGGGCAAGATATTTCTTAAGATACTTTTTGGGCTTGGTATCTCCTTTGCGCCTCTTGATTTATTTTTTTTGATTAACTAATTTTGTTCCTCTTCATTAGCCAAGTTTCCCTTGTAATCTTGCAGTGGTTCCTTTGGATTTATTTCTGCTAAAATGTTCCAGGTCGTAAATCAAGAGCCATGAATGTGCGACACCGTTGATGCACAATCACCAACTAATGGCAGGAATTGGCTGCTCTGCAAGATAACGCAGCAAGATTCGATAACCATCCATGGACGAGTACCTTGAAACATGTCTGGTGACCCACCGGTTGAATATATTTGAATATACTCAAATGTCCTGGAAGAGGAACTCATCCATCATGTTTCAAGTGTCACAAAGTAAAACATCTAGAAATTGTGGATTTTCCACTTCGGGCTTAGTGTGCCAGACAGCAATCAATGGGTCATGTCTTTTGAGATGCAAGCAAGGCATGCGTCCGCACCCTTAGCCCCCAAAGATCCCACATGCTCAGTGATCTTTCCGTTGAGCAGGGGCCCGAACACCAGGACGCCTGCTGAAGAAGCCATGGGTTTCCAAAGCTACGCAAATGAATCATAATAGGACAATCACAAGTTGTAATTTATGAAGGGTATGAAAGCATTGTTTAGGATCGTGCATCTTTTCAACATGTCACTTTGTCCAGAATTTAGCACAGTGCATCCATCATCAACAGCTCTAGGTACAACCAAGATAACCATTGAGAATTAACCACTAGTAGTTGAGTAGATACCATTGGCTTACCATCCGAAATTACAATTAACCCCCATCCTTTTGCTCACCATGGTCTACTAATCACTCACCATCGTAACCAGTTGCAATATGTTGATTATCATCCGCAAAAATGAATCCGGCACCTCTTGTTGGAGCAGCTTGTCACAAAAGCTGTGATCCTGAGGCACCGATGACAAACGCGAAATTTGGATCATCAAAGCTGCAGCTTTCTCTCAAAGCCCCTGAAGTCTTGGCAGACGTGAATAGTCAGTGTCCTCATTCTGATGCTTTGCTCAATCAAAGCAATCACCAAACACGAACTGCTTAATCATAGGTCCATTCTGACAAAACATTGCAAAACCAATCCTAAGTATATCCATCATTTAGGAGGCGTAAACCAATTTTGAGCCTCACATCCATGATGAAGGCCCGGCAGCCTGATTCTTGGGCCTGAAGTTCTGCAGGACCTTCCACAGAAGGGGCATCAGGTTGAACTTTGAATTGGCATCTCTGGCGCCTTTGTTTGTACTTCCGTCGCTGCTTTGCTCAGATAGTCAAAGGCACATTCCTCAAGAGCAAGCTGGACACTTAATGCAGGGGACACCAGGCATGTTTAAACCCTAGGCGTCTCGTGCTCCACAATTGGGCATATGCAAATGTATTGAACTTTCGCATGGTGCTTGTTTCCAGGATCCATTCCCGTTAGACTTGGTGATTACAGTTTTATGGCATTGCAAATATTTCCTTGGAGTTAGATCCTTGATGATCCTTGTATTGGTTCCTGCACCACGGTTTACAGCCTTTGCTGCATTAGCTCGGCTGGGGCCCTGGCATCCATGGGGAACCTCTCACGAAAACGGTCCAGCTCGGATCCCAGATACCTGGATGGTAACAATCCAGAGAGCTTTGACCCTGTGTGCAAAGATCTGATGGTACTTTTGACGTGGGTGCCATCCTGAACCAGTTGACCCATGATTTACCCCATGAATCCTAGGATCTTAGTTTTCCCTGGCTTTTGTCTATCAAATGGTATCAATGGTATATGGTCTAACTTTGCTAGACATATATCGTACCACAGCCCGAACCCTTAGCCACTTTGCTGTTCACAATTTCTCAAACATTGGGGATGCCCACATCTATGCTGTTCTAACTTACTTTAAGCCACAGCCACGTGTCATAACCATGCGTGATAAATTGTACCACCTGGACCAGGGCAAAGGCAATGGAAAGCGAGGAATCAATGATGAAGCCATCAATAATGATCCATAATGATAACTAACCAATAATGATCCATGGTTCATAATGATCATTAAGCCCATCATTATTAACTGGACATGGATCCTGTGATCCCGCCTCTCGCGTTGCCAGGCGCCCTGCAGGCACAGCAGTTGGCCATCAGGCACCGGACATTGTCACAGATTAATAATATAAATAATGATCAGCATACGATGGTTAAAAAATCAGTTGGTAAATTGTGGTACATTATTATCATGATGTTTATCGACATTGTTTGACAGTAATTAAGCAATTGGTCATGCGTGTTTGGAATGTTACTATGTATGATATGTATGGAAGATGACCCTTGTCCAACCACCAGTTTATCGAATCATTATCAGCGGTCAATTGTATATTGTGTTGTCGTTCCATCATTACATTATGTTGTATATAGATTGTACATCAATGGTGTTGTATCCGCCGACCCCGGCTGCGCAAGGGGGAGCGTGACCAACGTGTCCTTGTGGGTGCTCTTGGCATTAGCAATTTTTCATTTGTGGTTCTACAATCCTTGGCAATTCTTGCAATTGTGGTTTCGACCCAGACCTGAAACACAATATACCAAGCATCTACAGACTGCAACTCGGTCCCAAGTCCGAGAGCTGAAGCAGCATACTGGTGTTTTCTTCCTGCGGTGGTTGGCACTAGGACTCCTACTTTTTGGAAATTTTACTTCAGCTAGGGGTGAGGGTTTCGTTGTGGGCATGAACAACGAGGGAGCAGAGATGACCTTCTCTGCGAAAGAACATGCCGAGGAGCCCCATGAGGTGTTCGCACCATACCAAGCACGTAAAAGCTCTAGTGGCAATGGTAAAAGAAGTTTCCATCGAGCTCAACGCAGAGCTGCTCAACATGGATATACATGGTGGAAAGGGGATCTTTATACAGCCAAACAACTGGGGACTCAGTTTGCAACATGCGACCCACCCGTCAAACATGCTCCCAACATCACGCCAAGCAGCAAACATTTGAGACAGAGACTTACGTGTTTTTGCTGGAACAGTGGGGGCTTAGGAGTCGAGAAATGGGACCTGCTCCAACTTTGGCTGGAGAAACAGCAGATTGACATTCTCTGCCTTCAGGAGACGAAATGGCCCTTTACCTCGGAGTGGATGCAACAACGCTATCACATCGTGCACAGTGGTGGTGGGAAACCTACAGCAGGCTTGATGTGCATGGTCTCCAAACAGATCTGTTCACCTGATATGATATCTTGGCAAGAGTTGGTTCCTGGACGCATTTTGCATGTACGTATCCATGGTGCTCATCGAAATTTGGACATCATTAACGTTTACCAGCATATACACACTACATCTCGCATGGATGCACGCTCTGAAGTGTGGCAACAACTTTCTTCCTTGCTGGGGGCGTTGCCACGATGCAACACCGTTTTGCTTTTGGGAGATTTCAACACCACCCTTCAGCGGCGTTCAGATGCGGTGGGAGTGGACACGTATGCCATGGACATGCAGCGCAGCAAGGGCCCCAAACATACTGACTCGAATCTCTGGATGAACATTTTGGCCATGCATTCACTCACTGCGTTGAACACATGGAGACATGAACTTGGACCAACATATCAATTCATTTCTCAGGGACATCATTCCAGAATCGACTACATCTGTTGTAAACAACACATGGCTGATTCTACATCTCGACAGGTGATTTACTTGCATGATTTCCCGTTGTTGAACACTGAACATTCCTTCCATGTCCCCATGATGACATCTATCCTCAAGGTTTGGCATCACAGCACAACGACCAAGCCCACGGGGTGGACCAGATCTCAGAGGCTTGAATTATGTCATCGTTGGCAACACCCTGACAGTGATGTACGACAATTGCAACAGACAGTACAGCAAACAATTGAGGCTATTCCTGACACCGGCAACACATTGGACACACTGCATGCGACTCTGAATAGTTTTCGACTTCCAATGCGTCACCATAAAGATCGACTTTTTGACCATTTGGATGTAACACCATTTCAAACTTTTCAGACACACACCAAACGTCTACGGGAACTGCGGACGGCAAACATGCAGAACATCTTACAGGCTTGGTTTCATGTTCAACAACGCTGCAAAGCACGTCGTTTAATGAAACAATCATCCAAGATTGCACGGAAACGGAAATTGCAAAAGGTCTATGATGCGGCGCGGCAAGCCGAACAAGCGAGTGACCCATTTAGGATGTGGCAGGCCATCCGTAGCATTGCACCCAAACAGACATTCAGACGTATACACTTGCGTTCTGACACTGGGGCACTGCTTGATCCGGATCAGGCTGCTGATCAGCTACAATCTAGGTTTGCTCAGCTTTATCATTCTGATCTTCCACTGGATTCTGTTGGCCACTTGGACTGGCCTTTCACTTGTGGTGAATTTGAATATGGCCTTTCCAAACTGCCACTTTCCAAGGCGCTGGATCCCCGATTTGCACCGGCTCCGTTTTGGCGCTGTGCTTCAGCCCAGACAGCAGCACTTTTGGATAACTTCTGCAAGATGCGTTGCAATCACAATGACTTGCCAGAGGTCTGGAGCCAGGGCTTTATTTGCTTCCTTCCGAAGGCGGCTGGCCGGAATCATCATCCACGGGACCTCAGGCCCATTGCTCTGTTGGAACCATCAGGAAAAACGGTCATGGGCATGATCTCACTGCATTTACATGATCAGTTGTGGCCCACCTTGCAGGGACTACCACAGTTTGCATACTTGCCTGGGCGTGGTGCCGACGAGGCCCTATCACGCATTGCTCATTTTTGTCGTGCAGTTCGCAATGTTGTTGAGAATTTTCACTACCCAATCCATCAACAGGCTTACGGAATCTCAGTTGGTGAACTTGGTGGCGGCCTAATGCTCAGTCTTGACCTTTCTAAGGCATTTGATACGGTGTGTCGTCAACGATTATTTCAGGGTTTACAATCACTTGGAGTTTCTGAACCTATATTGAACCTATTGAAATTGATTTATCAACACACCAGTTTTGCCTTTGAACACAAAGGCTGCTATCGTGAATTTCGAACAACCCGCGGCATCAGGCAGGGTTGTAAAGCTGCTCCTGCTTTATGGACGGCACAAGCAGCACTTTTACTACATGCCATTGCAGATGCCACCAAACATGAATGGATGTTGGACAGCTCGACAACTTTTGCAGACGACTGCAACTTTCACCAGGTCATCACGTCTGAGAGGGACTTTCTCACCTTGCTGACATATCTGGGCAAAATCCTTGATATTCTGGAGGACTCTGGCTTCACAGTCAATTTGGAGAAAACGACTGTCATGTTGAAACTTGTTGGACACAAGGCCAAACAACTCCAAAGACGTTTTATTCAGAGGAAGAAAACCGGTGGTGCTTGGCTGAAAATTCCCAGACGTGATGGTCAACATGTATGCATCAAATTGGTTGCACAACAACAATTTTTGGGTGCGACAGTGAGTTTCTCTAACTTTGAACGTCAGACAATGTTGGCAAGGATCAAGGCCGGGGAGAAAACAGCACATCAAATTTCACGTTGGATTTTTACACAAAAAGGATTCAGTGCAGGTAAGAAACAACTGCTGTGGAGACAATGTGTATTTACCAGCATGAGATACAGTTTAATCCCCATTGGCTTTACCACTTCAACACTTGCTTTGCTTGATGTTGTATGCCTCAAACATCTCAGACGCATCTTTAGAGAACCAGTGCACCTGTTTCGCAACACCCATCAAGAGTTTTTGACTGCACACGACATTCCTGATCCATTGACGCTGCTCTTGGCATTTTGCCGCGAAGCCGCTCGACGTGATGAACTGAGATTTACCTCCCTTCCTCCTCATGACATTTTGCACAGAATGGCATCCATTGACTACGGTGCCAGATGTCAGGTCATTGAGCTGACGAGAGATCATCTACGGCGCCAACACACACCAGAGTATTTGCTGGAGACAGAGTTGGACACTCAACAAGAATGCCCTGTTTGTCACAGATTGTACCCTACGCTCAGTGCCCTGAAGAGACATCTGACGCTTGAGCATGATGAGCGAACAGGCCCACTGCGTCAACCTATTTCCACTGATTTTGACAATGGGATCCCAAAATGTGCACGTTGCAAGATGCATTTCACCACATGGTATGGACTGCGTAAACATGTTCAATTTGTATGTCACGCCAATGCTCAGGAGCCAACCGATCCAGATGAAGAAGTTGAGCACAGAGTACGTGTTCATGAGCTGTTGCAGTATGCCTGTTGCCTCAACTTGGAGGCCCTGTGCATGAACGTGGAACTTGCTGCTTATTTTCACACCAGATGTGGCATTTGCAGATTTTTCTGTTCTACAACAAGGGGTCTGCTACAGCATTTCAAAACAGCTCATGCCGATGTCTTTAGCAGACATGAGGGCCTGAACGAACAACTGCTGTATCGATGGCCGCTTTCCTCACCATGTGCTCTTTGTGGTGACACGTTCAAGCAATATCATAAGTGTCTCATCATTCGACAGATGTCTATGCTGATGACTTCAATGGGACTTGACTTTGGCATTCCGACCACGGAGCCCTTGACTTGTCCAATCTGTCGGAAGGGATACTCTACTGCCCATGGACTTCAACAGCATCTTCGTGACTATCACACCACTGTGGAGGCTTGTGAGACTTTGGATCCAGAGATCATCCAGTGCTATTGTCACGTTCAACAGGCGGTGGAGCAGAATAGCTGCCCTGACTTGCTCCAGCTGGACGAGGTACGACGCTTCCTCACCTCCAGGTGCGCTTCATGTCAGAAATGTTTTGGACGTCCCCAAGAACTTGTTCGCCATTTTAAGGCCAACCATGCTTCAGAATGGCATGAGAGTGAACGCAGGGCCATGGACCTTGATCAAACCTACAAACCCATTCATGGCTGTGTCTGTCATCCCCCACGCTACAACAAGCATATTTGTACATTGTATTTACATTTTGCACTGTTGAGGCTGGAATATGAACGACAACAGGTGCCGCAAGTCATGGCCTTACCACCTGACATGTTGCTGGGGATTGCAGAACAGATTGAGCCTCTGCTATGGCATGGACATCCGAAGTTGCTGTACAAGAAATGTGACTTGCGACTTCAACTGACGATTCAGTGCCAACTTTGTGGACACCGATGTGACTCCGGTGACAAGCTCAATCACCATCTTCATGCACTTCATGCGGATGCCTTACAAGAGATTCAGACGCTGAAACAGCTCATGCAATGGACCATGTTTGCTGACCTTGGCTGCATTTGTAATCCCGGACCTGGATGGGGATCCATGCATCACGAATGCGTGGCATTGACTCAATTGGCTCTGATTGCAGCCAATTACAAATGGCAAGTTGTGGTTCCGTGGCCCTTCTCATCCACGCAGCTCACGGATTTGCTGGGAGTCCTCCTGCCAGATGCTGACATGCAGCGTACGGCCATGGCCTTGATGACACGAAATTTTCACAAGCTTTGGCAAGACCCTGCGTTGACACAGATGCTGAAAATGAACTGCCTGATTTGCCAGGAAGCAGTGGAACTGAAGATGCTCAAGGCTCATTTGTTTGTGTGCCACCGCATTACAGCAGATCGTGTCGCATACATTGCGGAACAATTGAGTTCGGTCTATGCTGAGCTTCAATCGACTGACTGGCACTGTGATTGGTGCGATGAAGTGCTGCCATCTTATGAAGTGGACTATGACATTCAGACCTGTCCCATTGAGCACATGCCCCATTGCCCCTTCATCACTCAGATGGCTTTGCTGTTGATGATGCCAGTGTGGACCAAACCGGCTTTCACACCATATCTCTGGCCCACGCATGAGGCGATTCGGGAAGCCCAGCGACAGGAAGAATTGAAGCTCTGGCAGTACAATGTGACAACCTCAGACACTTTTGGACTCACAGTGGACTTGCTTGCGCAATGTGGATTAATGCAGATTCAAGATCCTCTGTTGGCACAGGGATTAAATCATCGATGTCTGTGTTGTCACAAGAGTTTCTTTTTGGCCTCGAAATTCACTGAACATTTGCATAGAGAACACAATTTCATGCAAATGCAGACGCTGATGTGCTATCACAGACTTGCTTTGCGTTGTCATGACCCTTGTCAATTTTGTGGATGCTCCCAGCACTCAAATCAGTGCGTTGCCCTGCTCAACCTTGCTGTTTACCTCACTAATGGACTTGGAGTCAGAGGCAAGCGAGGGGCTCGACTCAGTGAACAAAATTTGGGGCAACTTACTGACCTCAGCCCAGCTCCAATCACTCGGGATCAGCCTGGAGCCTCAGCAAAGCAACAAACGGCACAAGCCAGCGCAGCACAAGAAGCGGGACAAAGGCAGCTCGGAGACGTCATCCTCGATGACCACAGTCCCGACGGACTTCCTGCAGAGCCTCACACGCCTTGTGCTGAGACACGAGGACAGCCTCAACACCTTACTCCAAGACATGGAGTACATGGTGTTCATGAGCCCAGGGCAGGGCAGCATTCTGCCCCAGTTGATGGAAGTCAGCAAGCTGTGGCATGCTCAGGAAAAGACGGAGCCACTTCGTCACCTTCTAGCCAAGACCATGCTCCTGACCCTGGAAGCTCGGTTGGACCAGTTGCTGGCGACGAATCCATCGGAGGCCTTGTATCAGGATTGTGTTGCCCATCATCTGATCGGCACGGACCAGGCCAAGACAATGCCGTATCTCAGGTGGAACCAGCAGTTGCAGAAACTTCAACCTACCAGTGCTCCAGGACTTCCGGCACAACAGGTGAAGCAGAGTTTGACCAATATGCTTCGCTTGATGTCCGATCATCGAGTGACGCTGCGCTTTCATGCGCTTCGCCGTCCACAGGAGGGGCAACAGATCACCCAAGCGATCCCGTGGCTATGGACTGTGAGCATTCGACACTCCGCGGAGCTATACTACGAATTGGACAAATTGGTACACCACTCTATTTGGCAGCTCATCCAAGTGAGGATCCGAGGACAAAGTCTGACTCGATCTCCTTTGGCAAAGCAATTACAGAAAATCCCATGATGGGAGTGATCCGCATCTTGCTGAACCCTATCGGTCGGGCTTGTGCGGTCAATTCGATGTTGCAGTGCCTTGCATGGCTGATGCTGCTTGCAGATGGGTTTCATTTTGACCTCTGGCATGGAGGTTTCATTCTGATGAGTAGTTTGGTGCAGAACAGCGCCGTACCGCTGGATGTATTGAGTTTTGGCCCTTTTGAGTGGCTGCTGACAGGGGAATGGTCAATTGAGAGATTCAAACAATGTCAACAAGACGCTTGTGAATTTTGTAGCTACTTCCTCAATTTCACGCGACCTGGATTTCTCGATTGCACGTGGGATACACGACCATCATTTGCAGATGGACTTTTGGAACCACATTTGGCTGGGGAAAAAGGCTCAACGTTTACACCTATTTCGTTGCCATTCATTGACTTGTCAGCAGATACATGTGAGTTGCAACAGCTTGTGCTGAAATGGCATGGCTCCCAAGGTCTTTGTCGAGCAGCTACGCAGGAGGGATTTCAGCTTGTCCTTGAACTCAATCGCCACAGAGACGATGATTCTCACAAAGTGATGCAATTGGTACACATTCCACATTCAATTTCTTTTCCATTCTTTTGCAATGAAGCAGGTGACATCAGATTGGATGATTTCATTGTTTGTGGTGTGACTTTTCATCTGGGTGCTCATGCAATGACGGGACATTGGCGCGCTGCATTGAAGTATCAGGGTTTTTGGATGATGTATGATGATGCCAGTGTTCCTGAACGTGTCATGCATTTACCAGAGTCCGCATTGCGGAACTGTTCATTGATTTGGCTTGTCCGTCCAACTGCCCACAATGTCAGGACGATGCTCTCTGGTGACCTACCCTTTCCTTCGAGGGGATCTGGCGTGGCTTCGGAAGGAGCTACATGAGCTCTTGGGATGGTTGAGCGGTGAATGGCATTTTGCCACCATGTCTCATGGAGTGTCTTTGTTTTGTACCAGCCACTTGAATGCAATTAGCTTCGGATCACTCTGCCGCGGCGCTGCTGCCCCTGAGCTTTGGCTTTTGCTGCTGGCTGCGCTGCTGTGGCGCTGATGGCAGCTGTCTTGCGCTGCTGAGCCTTAGTGTCTCGCAATGCTGATGTCGGCGGCAGCGGCTGAGAGTTTCGTTTCAATTCTTCACCTTTGCTTTTTCCAACTTCTTTCACAGTGCCATTCACTAACAACTACCTGTGAATTTTTGCGCTGATTTGAAGTTTCTTGTAATCCTACGGGATGTGCTTGGTAAGTCCAGTGCACTGCAGCGGACGTCCAAATCTGCAGCTGCATTGGCCGGCAGTTACAATGACTGTTGGAAGGGCTAGCCTGCTGACACGTAACAAGGTGTTAAAGGGGTAGTAAAACACACACACACACACACACACACACACACACACACACACACACACACACAACACACACACACACAACACACACACACACAACACACACACATACAACACACACATATACAACACACACATATACAACACACACATATACAACACACACACATACAACACACACACATACAACACACACACATACAACACACACACATACAACACACACACATACAACACACACACATACAACACACACACACATACAACACACACACATACAACACACACACATACAACACACACACATACAACACACACACACACAACACACACCACACCCCCCACCACCACCCCCCCCCCCCCACCCCCACCCCCACATCCCCCCCGACCCCCCCCCCCCCCCCCGACCCCCCTCTACGCCCCCCCCCACTCCTCCCCACCCCCCCCTCCCCCCCGCCCCCGCCCCCCCCCCCCCAACCCCCCCCCACTCCCCTGCCACCATCCCCCTCCCCCCCGCCCCCCCCCACTGCCCACCACACACACATCTCTCTCTCTCTCTGTGTTTAGTTGGCCAACGTTGGATATCTTTTTCCCGTCCCACCATCCCACGCCTGAACTGCCGGCACTCGTTTCATTGGTCCACAACGGCGCACTCTGCAAGCCCAAGGCTGTGAACCGGTGACTGCTGCAACTGGTGCGGGGAACCATGTAGTGATCATCCCATTGATATTGAAAATAGCGATGCTCACACCAATAGTTAGGAGAAGTTGGCATCAGCTCCCGGTTTTTCTCTTCAAAACTCTTGATGAAGCTGTAGATGCCCTCGACATCTGCAATGGATTGCACCTGGTCCAGTCCGAAATGTGCCTCCAAGTGACGATGGATGGCGGACGTCTCGGTGGCCGGACTGATGATGCTGATGGCGATCAAAAAGCAGAACAGACACAGCAAAAACAGCGGCATCCTGGGCGCCGCATGGCGCTGGGCAATGGCGGGCAATGTGGAAAATGGGGAACCGTGGCAATATGGCTTGCAGTCAAGGGATCATCCGCGCACGCAAACCAAGATCACATGTACACACAGAGGCCCCTTTTCAGCCTTACGATCACCTGCGCACGCAGATGAAAATCACATGTACCACCAGCGAGCCCACGATCACATGTACACACAAGCGAGTTCATCTGCGCACGCAGACGACGATCACATGTACACACAGCGATCACATGTACACACCACTACTCTTAGACTTGCTTTAAATGTACGAAGAGCCACGACACCTTTAGGGTTAATATCTTGTTGCACTTGATGTAAGAAGAGTCACGACACCTTCAGGGGCTATGTCTTGTTGCACTTGATGTAAGGAGAGCCACGATACCTTTAGGGTTTATGTCTTGTTGCACTTGATGTAAGAAGAGTCACGACACCTTTAGGGTTTAGGTCTTGTTGCACTTGATGTAAGAAGAGTCACGACACCTTTAGGGTTTAGGTCTTGTTGCACTAAACCATGGTCTCCATTCGACTTCTTTATTTAAACTTCCCCCCCCCCATGCGTTCCACCAAACCATGGTCACCATTCTACTTCTTTATTTAAACTTCCCCCCCTTGCATTCCACTAAACCATTGTCTCCATTCTACTTCTTTATTTAAACTTTACCCCCCTGCGTTCCACCAAACCATTGTCTCCATTCTACTTCTTTATTTAAACTTCCCCCCCTGCGTTCCACCAAACCATTGTCTCCATTCTACTTCTTTATTTAAACTTCCCCCCCCCTGCGTTCCACTAAACCATTGTCTCCATGCTACTTCTTTATTTAAACTTCCCCCCCCTGCGTTCCACCAAACCATGGTCTCCATTTTACTTCTTTAATTAAACTTCACCCCCCCCTGCGTTCCACTAAACCATCTCTCCATTCTACTTCTTTATTAAACTAAACCCCCCCCCCCCCCGCGTTCCACTAAACCATTGTCTCCATTCTACTTCTTTATTTAAACTTCCCCCCCCGGCGTTCCACCAAACCATTGTCTCCATTCTACTTCTTTATTTAGACTTCCCCCCCCTGCGTTCCACTACCATATTCTACTTCTTTATTGATCTCCATGCTACTTCTTTATTTAAAACTTTCCCCCCCCTGCGTTCCACCAAACCATGGTCTCCATTCTACTTCTTTATTTAAACTTCCCCCCCCTGCGTTCCACCAAACCAAACCATTGTCTCCATTCTACTTCTTTATTTAAACTTTACCCCCTGCGTTCCACCAAACCATTTCTCCATTCTACTTCTTTATTAAACTTCCCCCCCCCTGCGTTCCACTAAACCATTGTCTCCATTCTACTTCTTATTTAAACTTCCCCCCCCTGCGTTCCACCAAACCATGTCTCCATTCTACTTCTTTATTTAAACTTCCCCCCCTGCGTGTCTCCATTCTACTTCTTTACTTAAACTTTACCCCCTGCGTTCCACCAAACCATTGTCTCCATTCTACTTCTTTACTTAAACTTTACCCCCCCTGCGTTCCACTAAACCATTGTCTCCATTCTACTTCCTTATTTAAACTTTCCCCCCTGCGTTCCACCAAACTCCTGTCTCCATGCTACTTCTTTATTTAAACTTCCCCCCCTGCGTTCCACCAAACCATTGTCTCCATTCTACTTCTTTATTTAAACTTCCCCCCCTGCGTTCCACCAAACCATTGTCTCCATTCGGTTTCTTTATTTAAACTCCCCCCCTGCGTTCCCCTTAACCATAGATAGATAGATAGATAGATAGTTAGATAGATAGATAGATAGATAGATAGCCAGATAGCTAGATAGATAGGTAACTTACATTAAAGAACTCCTGCCGGGGTCTCAGCATTCTTGACTCCCTGTAAAGAGTCTTAGACAGATAGGTAGATAGATAGATAGATAGGTAGATAGATAGAACGATAGATAAATAGATAGATTGATAGATACATAGATACATAGATACATAGATAGATAGATCGATAGATCGATAGATAGATAGATCGATAGATAGATAGATAGATAGATTGATAGATAGATAGATAGATAGAAGAACAATAGATACATAGATGATAGAAAGATAGATACATAGATAGATAGATAGTTCACTAGCTAGCCAGATAGATAGATGGATGGATAGATAGATAGATAGATAGATAGATACATAGATAGAGAGATAACTTACATTAAAGACGTTTCCTATTCGCGTGTAGTTGCGATCTTGGCCGCACAGATAGCCTGCTTCCACCAACTTCCACGCATGGTTGCAGATAGAAACGTCACATATACCACAAGTCTCTATTTTCATTGGTTTTTACAAGGAAAAAAGAGACATGGCCTATTCGCATGTAGTTGCGATCTTGCCCGCGTGTACATGCGATTTTCTTCCCTAAGTCGTTCGCGTGTACATGCGACCCCCCGACCTGGCACTTAAGTGACTATGTTTGAAGATGTTTATGTCCGGCCGAATGATCTTTTCCAAAGTGCAAGCGCAAGTATTCACAAACAACAAATAACACATTGGGATGATCCTAATAATCCTAATAACAATTTAGAGTGAGATTAGTGGAATATCAGATATCCCCAGCTATACAAAGGCAATTCTCCACCTAGCCCTTTCCAGTGTGGCCTAACTTTCCGCACATCCCAGGAGTCTGAACTGTGCCAAACTGTGCCAAGCATCTGCTGCATAAAACCCAGAAGGCCATCTTCGAGCTTGGCTCGTTCCAGTGCGATGTCGGCTCTGAAATGTACTCCGGCAAAGTCTGCCAGAAGCTCATCGGGAGAAATCTTCCTGAGATTCCACAAAAACCAAAAAAAACATTTGGGAAAATACCGGTCATTCTTTACATACAAAGAGATATCTCTCACATAATTCGTCACACACACACACACATATATATATATATTTGATTGTAATCTACATCTGATCACATCTATCATCACATCTATCATCACATCTATCATCTATCTATCATCTATCTATCTATCATGCTCTATCATTTTTCTATCTCCCCAAGCTTTGCCCAGAGGATCCCATTGTTGTCAGCGTCCAGGTCCAGCTGCCCCGACGCCTCCAGGGCGCTCTTCCGCTTGCGACTGCGCCGTCGCCGCGCCTCGCCGGCCACGATCACCACGGCCGCCATGGCGACGCAACGGGGGCGCAACGCGGGCGCAACGCGAGCGCAACAATGCAACGGTGCCCCGGGAAAGCCCTAAGGCCCGAGCCAAGATGGGCCAAGATGGGCCAAGTTCTAATGTTGTTCTGTTGTTTTGGTGGAGTTTGGGCCGTCAATTGCCTGTGAAGACAACCAAAAGCAGACTAAAATGACTAAATCCCACATCTTCTGATGCCCGAAACCAGGTGTTCCAGGCTCCAAACATATAGCATCATATAGCGAACAAGACTGTGACAACACATGTCGACTGCTGAGCTGCTGACTCCATTTATCGCCAAATCTTTGCCGCGCAATCCCGGCACACGAGCGGATTTTCTATGCAAAACCAATAGCATCCAATGATCCTCAAATAATTGCTCTATGCTGATTGTACTTTTCATGACTCGAAGCGCTGTTTCCACTGATTCAGCAAGGACATGCAAGGACCACAGAGAAAGCTGCAGTGCACAAATGATCTCTCTCTTGGCCATTTCCTTCTCATGCTGAATGACTTCAACGGCCAGCCCAGGATCCTACCTAACAAGTAACCAACATGTCATTTGTATTCATTTGTCATGTGAGTCATGTCTGCTGAGCGGCTATGGCAGCTATGGCAGCTATGGCAGCTATGGCTTGACGCGGCGAAGGGCAACGCCAGGCACAAGAAGTGGTCCATTGAGAGTTGACAATTTCTCACATTTCAGACATTTTGGACTATTTCAGTGGTGAAACCCACATCCCAAAAAATGAAGCAACTTGGGAGGAAACAAGAACATAAACATCATAAACTACCAACAATCCGCATTCTGTTTCATTTAGTCGGGTGACAGGTAGATCGGCAGGGGATATGCCCCTACCCCCTTGACACAATGTGATTGTTAGGGCCTCATTGACTCATGATTGATGCTTTCCGATCTTAAACATTAAGCATCATTTTTGGGGCTTGGTCCTTTGAAACCTATACAGCCTAAACAGATTGGTCCTCTGAATGGGTCATCCATCCAGTTCTGTTCCCTCATTCCTTCCCGATGCTGAGGCTTCCGGCGCTCTCCCCGCGGCCTGCGACTGCCACGGCTTGAGATGGTTGGTTCATATGGCTTGCACAAATGTGCCGACATATGTCGGAACACTATATATATATAGTGTATATATAGTGTATATATAGTATATTGACCTGACCAATAGTATTCAATGTATTATAATGTATTCAATAGGGTTGGTGATTTTCCAAATTTTTCACGATCTTCCTATCCTGTGATGCTGAGATCTGCCTTGAAGCCCTTCTGGATGGGGAGCCTAGGCAGAGCGTCACAGCAAAAAAAAACATCACCATCAGCGATGAACAAACCATCCTTCGATGAACAAACCATCATCCTTAACATCCTTAACATCCTTAACATCCTTAACTGAAAACCAAGAGTTTCACCACCTGTTTTACCCACTTTTTCACTCTTTCACCGTCCCAAATGGGATGGGATTTGGAAAACGACAGCGACGCCATTGGGGCCACGACGCTTTCGTGACCTGTCGTGGAAGCGATGAACACAATCTGAAGACTGCCACGTGTCATACGAAGGGACGAAGGGACCACCAAAACATATTTAAGATAAATTGATATAAATATATATAAATTGACATCATGGGAAGCAATTACGTGCTGCAAAAGCAAATCCATTGGATCCATCTCAACCCACACCCATCCGATGGCAACTTCCAGGCCCCCTGCTGGCCTTTTTTTCGGCGATGGCTCGCGCCTTCGCCTGACACAGATTACAGACAGCTCGGTTCAACGCGCATCCTGGAGAATCTGTTCAGTTCTTCGTTGGTAGTGAAATGCAGCTGAACCCAAAAGTTCAAAAAAAACAACAGAATTCAGCAATGAGACATGACTTTTGGAGACTATCCGCGCCAAGCCGAAAAGATCGGGACTCCCAGCTCTTTTCGATTCCTAGATTGTGAGGATGCCTCAGAGAAACGGCCGATGAACACGTTCAAATTCGACAGGCAAGATGAGAGCAACTTGCCAACATTTGCCAACCAAATGGCCTGGTCATTTCCGTTCGTATTGATTGCTTTGGAGAAAATTCGGGGAACATCTATGTCATACAATTTTCATACGAGATCATACGAGCATTTATGCCATTTATGCTACGTATAGCCGTATAGCATGTAGGCCGCCAGCGCCAAGTGATAGGGGAACCTCCATCCCACTGACACTCATCATTCAGATTTTCTGCTGCACCGCGTAGTTTTCTCAAAAAAAGAACCCCAATGATGGTAGTTTAATGTAGTTTATCAGGTTATGAATGGTTGCGAGCCTATCCAAACCACCAAACATCTCTGAGTGCCACCGCTCTTTTTCTTGAGCTCCTTCAGAGGCTTTGGTTGTCTTCGTAATCGCTGCAACAAACATGTAAAACATCGGTAAACTAAAATGGGAAACACAGGGGGAAAAACCTCATCTCAACAGGTGATTCAATACAAACTCTTCTATCTGATTCTATCTTCACGCAGGATGTTTATAATTATATACTATTATAATATTTATATATATATTTTTTTCCAGCCATGTTGGCTCGCCAAGCCATGCTGCAAGCCAAGTATTGTCCCAGTCAGCATCCGTTTTATCTGTTGTATACAGCATGTCCACGTTGCACCACGGCTCGAAAGCCATTATATTGGCACGCAATCTGCTTCAGAGCGGGATTTGGATAAGGAGATAAACCCATGGATAGATCTCGAATATTCTACTAGGCTTTCGTATGTTCAAAGAAACAAAATAAGGGGATATAATCATATATAGATAATCCTCATTTTTGCTGTTTAAATCCACTTTTGTTTCTTGTGCAATATGGCTGGTTGGGCCACTAGGTTCCACTTCTGAAGCAGTTCACGTGTAAAGATGCCAGAGGCTTAGCCTCGGCGACGTCGGTAGCTTGGTGGAACAGCGTGACGAATACTGATTCATCATGACTAATGACAGATGAATCACATTGAATCATAATAATCTAAGAATCATTGAACACATTAAAATCGACTTGATATATAATATCTACTAGTCACACATGTTCTGCTTTGAGCAATGGTCTGATTTGGCAAAATGATCTGTTACCATCAAAGCACCGGCAAGGACACTGCCCTGGCTGCATCTAGAACGCACGCAGCGCGCTACAGGACTCAATTCCTCAGTGCAGGGAATCGATGAAACACTCCCAAGTATCATCCCGTCATTTCTCCTCCATCGCCAGATAAGCAGTCAAGCTGGTCAAGCGTATCCATTTTAGTTTGCTTTCAGTTTCCTGTTTCCTCAAGATTCCTGATAATTCCTTCAACAGATTCAACAAACACATCCCAGAATATTCCAGGTCCACCAAGACATCACCTCAAATAACACACATTAACACACCAAAGTGATTTGTTGGTTAAGTGTTAAGCCAATGGATTCCACAGATCTAAGTGGATCTCATGAGATTCAATCCAGCGGATTGGTATGGATTGGTGCTTGAGCTGTTAAATCCCCGAAATTATCACAGAACCCCCCAAAAATATGAACATCAGTTTGGATGATTATCTCATTTTTAGGGCTGAACATCAAAAACATGAACTGAAACCAACCAAATAATCTCTTCAGCCAAGTTTTCTGCAAAAAATAACGCACCACCAGGTAATTTACCGAATTCTCAGACACACTTGAAGCCAAATTTCGAAAAACTCACTTCTCAGCATTTCTCCAAGGTACCGGTCACTTTTCTTCCCTTTACCTTTCTTTCCTTTGCCTTCGCCTTTGTCGCCCTTGCCTTTGTCGCCCTTGCCCTTGTCGCCTTTCTCGGGTTCCTTCTCCTTGGGCCTTGGCGCTGGGTGGTTTTAATCTGAAGACATCTTTGAACATGATGGGATCATATGTGATTATATATGATATTCTATGGCAATATGCTATTATATTATATGATGATATGGATCGTCATCCCATCAGCTGGATGGAAAATGATAGTCCGTCGCAAATATGAATCTGAACGAAACCACCAACAAGATAGCTTTGGTCTTTGAACATCTTTGCCGGAAACCACACATGACACCGAAAAAGAGATGTTCAATGGTTGAGAAATGGATGCGATGCCAAATTCAACAGGGACGTTTCAGCTACCCTCTGGTAAACTAACATAGCTATGGAAAATCACCATGCTATTAATGGGCAAATCCACAATTTCTATGGCCATTTTCAATCGCTGATTTGCAGGCTGGTCGCGGACCCTTTTTCTTGACAGTCAGCCAACTTCCATCCTGAGCGAGAGTCGGGCACAGGCTTCACCAGTCATCCACGACTGGAACAAGCATCGCCACCAAACTTTTATTTATGGGTTTAAGGTGGTTATAAGGTGGTTATAAGGTGGTTTAAGATCAGCGTATATCCACATGATGCTGATAAACATTGATAAGCATCCCATAACATCCCCAGATGAATTCGGGTCCCTATGGTAGCGTTCTGGCAACCATTCGGACATCTCCCTCAGCTCCAGTCCAAGAAGGGGAAGCTGTTCAGAGCGCGAATGGCCTGGCGAGGCGAGGCTTAGCGGCTTGGCTTAGCGGCTTAGCGTTTCTCAGACTGGTGGCTGAACTGTTTGGATTGTCGGTATACCAACTGGTATACTTCGCGGGGAATATCTGAATATCGATTTTTGAAGAGTCTTGTGACAAGTGGGATTTTGGTGCAGCATGGTGATTAGAATTGCCAGGCAGAAGTGCTATGGCTGCTATGGCCATTGGATTGTTCCTTTTCCCTGTAACAAGTCCAATCATCCCCAAGCAGTCACAGCCCGCCTTTTGCGCAGAGTCAGACTCGATGAAATTCACAAAGCCAATGCCTACGGGAATCATTTCACCACCTCCCCTGGTGAGCCATCCCAAAAGTCCATCCTAATATACCATCCTAATATATCCTAATATACCATTCATATACCATCAATTTGGGATCCTCGACCCTCCAATATCCTCCATTTCTTTTGGAACGTTGAAAACCCCGATTTCGCTGCATCGAACCAACGTGTTGTACCAGGAAACCTCCAAATCCCATTCCACAGTACCACAGGTTGGACCCCAAAATGTTCTTCAAAGGTATAGCCACCAGAAATACCAGAAATCCTCACCTGTGCACTTTCCACTTTCTTTATCCTGCAGCGCAGTAGCACCTGCGACCATTGGCATCACAGGCAGAAAAAGAGCACAAGTCGTCTCCAGGCTGGCCATCCAGGGAACCCTCAAACAGTCTAACCGTCGGCCTCGGTGTGCAATGGCTCCGAAGGCTGAGAAGAGTTGATACCTCAGCGAATACGACGTCGCGAATACGTCTGACTCTAACTTCGGAATTGTGGACACCGGTCCAACATTGGAGATTTGTAATGGATGTGCTTTTCCCATCTTTCCATACCCCTGCTGGCGAAGGAATTTCATGTACATGGAATCTCATTTTGGGCGTGTGGTTACCACGGGTAACAATGAGGATGAACTCATGAAACCTAATGATGTTGGCTTACGTCAAAGGAAAACATTGTATCCATTTCTTGGATGTCATTGCCATTTGGAACTTGAAGCTAGGCCGCATTTGGTGACCATTTTGCAGCCCCAGGAAAAAGGGGTGCCGTGTCATCAGCCGCACTTTGACGATATTGTCTAGCATCAGAACTAGCACTAGCCAACCTCACAAGAACCAACTTCAAGTGACATGTTCATGAAATTTCACGTGAATGGAAGCCAGCAGTTTGCTGAAAATTATCTTTCAAGGCCTCACTTTTGTGGGGCTTCGAACTGCTCGATTTCACAAGGATAGTATCAACACATGATTCATAAGACCCGCTTGATTCATTGGGGTGTCAACCCCAGTAATATATATATATATATGATCATCATTTACACTTGGAAATGGGACTTTCCCGCCATGTTTTCTTACAACAGCAATGGGTTTAATAGTTTAACAAATGTTTATACTTTATTTGTTTCTTCTTGACCTTGACTAATCCTTTTACCATTCCCCTTTTCTTGGTTCCAACCAACTATAAATCTGAATAGATCCCCATCCCAAATATCATCAACTGGTGATCAATCGATAACCATAATTTCTACCATAATCATGTAACCAAAATGGAGACATCTGAGATTCCCATCAATTTCATATATTTCCCATCCCATATATATATATATACACACACATATATATATATATATATCCATAATCATATAGCATTATCATTCCCACATTTGGGTATAAAAAATGGAGGATTTTCCGAAAAAAAATCCCATGGATTTTCCCATGGATCCGATCAAATCGAGTGGCATCTCCAGGTTGGTCATGTCCGACGGCAGTCCGGCCACGAAGATGGTGCTCTCCTCACTGCCACGGCCATCCGGCATGGCTTGTGCCTGGATGATGGACCTCGTGGCGAGTCGTCATCGATCGCCATCGGATCTGATTTTTTTGTTTCAACAATGATATGTTAACAGAAGAGACATCCAAAAACCAAGAATAATCCCTTCCTCCTAATACTAAACCCCCCCCCCCTAATACAAAACACGGCAGGTAGTTTTTAGTATTAGGGGGGTATTTATTATTAGGGAACCAAATCGAAGTCATGTTAATTAATTAATTAATTAAATTTCCTTATATAACGCAATTAAAATATTGCCAAAAATGGCAGTTCGAAGCTTTCCCCTAATACTAAATAAAAACCCTTAATACTAAAAACTATTTTTTCCGATCTCAAAATCAATTAAATTTCCTTATATAACGCAATTAAAATATTGCCAAAAATGGCAGTTCGAAGCTTAACCCTAATACTAAATTAAAACCCTTAATACTAAAAACTATTTTTTCCGATCTCAAAATCAATTAAATTTCCTTATATAACGCAATTAAAATATTGCCAAAAATGGCAGTTAGAAGCTTACCCCTAATTGTTAGAGTAGCTAGGCAGCTTGGAGTGAGGGATTGGGACTAGGCCCCCCCTAATACTAAACACCCCGGGGTAAACTAGTTTTTAGTATTAGGGGGGAGAACCCACAAATGGTAGGTTGATTTTTAAATTGTTTTTTAAAGGGGATCAATTAAAAGTCAAATTGGCCAAACTGAAATTTTCGGAAATTGGAGATGGATGCCTGTTTTTAGTATTAGGGGGACGTTTAGTATTAGGAGGAAGGGATTATTTATGAATATTTCAGATTCTAAAAATCTATTCATTTTACATCTAAAAGTTGTAGAAAGACATCTGAATTCGGACCAAGTGACCTCACCAAGCCCTTAATCTCTTTGGGCGCACCAGACTCGGCTTCCTGTCGTCCCTTGCCGCCCTTATCTGAAGTCATATTGTAGCCACCTCAGCCAAATTTCCATGGGATCATATTGATTAAAGAAATATGACACAATATGAGTCAATATGGAGATGAGTCATGATCAACCAAAGAAAACATGAATTCATGTGAATTCTGAATAACTGCACTGCCCAAAATCAATGGTTCCCAATGGTTCCCAAGGCCTTTCATTTTGGGACTTATCCTGGTTCGTGGTCCCCAGCTGACGAAAAGCATGCACAGTTTCGACTTCGTTCCTTGCCTCCTTTGCTATGGCTATAATCAGGTACGCCTCAGACAGCTTTGAGTCTTTGAGGCAACAGATCTGCACACTACAAGAATTACAAGAATCCCCATAGTGTCATAGTTGAAGCATGTTGAAGCCAAGACATGAAACAAAACTTGAAACCCTGCGACTATGAAATATCACGAAACATCCACATCTTTCGCGGATTTCTTCCGAGGTGCTATAGCTGCCGCCATAGCTGTCATCGTAGCTTGCGTATCCTTTTCCATAACTTTGATATGGATCATAGCCCTTGCTCCAGCCATCGTTCCATGACTGATTCCATTGCTGTTGCTGATGCATCCGGCCCGGCGGCCCAACGGGGCGCGCAACCTTTATGCTACGAAAGCGGCTGCGTGGTAACGTGGTGCAGCAAATTCGCCCCAAAGGTGGCAGACTTTGGAAATGGTCAATACAGCAATAAGCATCAATAAGCCATCGTTAATGCGTTAAGGCGGTGAATAAGCCCGCAATCAACCTTTATTTGGGAAAACCCCCTTGGATATTCATGAAAATTCTGCGTCGCCATCCATCACCAGTGTGATCATTGTGATCTCAAAAACTCTGCTGATTCCTTGCGCCTTTTTTTCGTGAAGCAGCACAAACTTTAGGCGCTGCAAGTCGCGATCCCGAAGCTATCGGCAATCCCTTGTGGAGTTCATTGCAGCACATGCCCCCTTTGCCATGGACACGATTCATAGAGGATGGACAATGATGTGATACCCACCACATGGATCAAATGGTGTCTAAGTGTCTAAGTCGTGTCTACCGAAAAAAAACATTATGCTTCCAGCTTTTGGTTTTTGAAATTTATCTCTCATTGGACTTCAGAGAAGGTTTTCTCCGATCGAGGAAATGATTCCAGGCACGATGTCTCCGATGTCGTTCAGACCTGAGGCGTACAGATTTCTGCATCGTTTGGGAACAGATCTTCGACTGGACCATGTATTTTTTTAAGGCTTCAATTCTAGCAGCTGCACTGCTGCACATTTTTTAGACCATGTGATGTTGTGGTGATTAAGGCCTGCTTCCTGGCCATGTTTTCTCTCGAAAGAGATGATTGTTGATCTGTTGTTGATCTGTTGTTGATCATCCCCCTATGAGTGTAGGACATGGAAAATCAAAGGTTTGGCCCTCCACTATACACTGTTTCTTTAAGCCAAGCAGCCTTTGCATCATGCTCCATCTCATCCAAGGAGCGGGCATTGACAAAGAAAAGACTTCCTGAACACACCCCGACAGATTCAACAAACAACACGCACAAATAGCCCAAAATAACCCATTGGGTTGAATATGTACTGACTATGCATATATCTATCTAGTACTGGCTGTCCATTTAGAGCCTCCGTTGCCTACAAATCCAACAAGCCGGGAGCAACCACATTTTCCATCACTTATCACAGCAATGTCTCCACGATGGCTACCGGGCTTCGTATTTTTCTGGCTTGTTGAAGCTCCCGCGCACGTATTGAGCATCATCACCCTCCGTGCCACCCTCTTGGGTGGTCATCCCTGTCCGAAGGAATGGGTGATTTCTGCCGGTGTCATTTCTGATCATAGTGACTATCGTAGTGACTAGCAATAATACTCATCGAGTGAATTCTGAAAACGGTGGGTAGCAATGACCCATCCATAATTCTCTAGTGACTAGCATAGTGACTAGCATAGTGATCCTTATGTCCTCACTGACCATGGTAGATTTCACTTCAGCCACGCCTAGGCGAATGCACTCGAGTCGCTCGGAGGAGCGGATGCAGTCTTTGGAGCAGGACTTGGCAGATCTACGAAACCAGGGGTTCTGGCGGGATGTTGGGTACTGACGCTTAAGGAACACTGGCTCATCTCTTATGGTATACGATGTCTGGAGAATCCATGATGAATAGCAAAGAATACAAAAATCATAGAGTATACAGCATATAGAGATTGTGACACATTCTACTTTGATATATTTGATAGAGATTATTTTTCATCAGAATGATCATCAGAACTATCAGATGGTGTCAAATAGGAGTAAATAGGTCATTTTCAGGTCATAATAGATCGATCATTTTCATCTATAAATATTCATGGTATTTCATGGTATTTCAAGGTTATCAAATGTTATCAATCTGTCATGTGGTACCATCTGCACCATCAGCCGTGTGGCCCCAGGACATTCGCCCTTTTTGGGGTTGGTCAACTCTTCCTGGCGCGACGAGACGACGATTCTGAAAAAACCACCAGCCACCAGTATTGGATCAGTTAAGGCTCAGAAAAAATCCAGTATTCCAGGAATCGGAAATGGTTAAACATGTTAAACTGGTGGTATTCTTCTATGAAAAATCTATTTCTGATTTCTATTACTTTCTTTTTTTCTCCGGGAATCAGACATAGATTAAATAGATCCATGACATGAGGTAGTTTCATGTAGTTTCTCCTCGCCCAGAATAATCAACGCCTGGGCTGTTTATTGGGGTGTGCTTGTTGTTGGGAATCCCCCCAATTAATCACCAATTCAAAAAAAAGGAAGTGAAAAATACCGGCAATGATGATCATGTGGGCAACTCAATGGCAAACAATCACCAAAATCACCATAGGTGGTGCAATTCCTAGTCATGGTACGGTAGGTTTAAAGAAGTCGGATGCGCCTCCTGGTGGTCCACATGCAAGCATCGCTCATCCGCTCCCATGCAGGCGTGGGTTCCGCACCTGAAGCCATCAAGCCATCTTCAAAGGGACCTTTTCAACTGAATTTCAACCTGAAAAACCACCAAAGTTGCGATATCCCCATTTTTTCAGCCAAAGTGAAAAATCAAATGGGCAAGAATCATTTTTGAAAGTCCATGAGGCTTCTATGAGGACGTCATGTCTGCAACGTTCCTTGAACAACTTGAACGTTGCGTTAAGTTGTGGAGACATGTGGAGACATGTGGAGACCATGTTTGCCTCAGTCCTTTTCAAGCGACATCATGAATTCACAGATTGATTAGGTATTTTAGTTTGCAATATTTGATTCTAGCACTTACTATCTCATTGCGGTGAGGGCAAACGAAAGGATCATTTATGGATGAATACTAGTTCACACATTACTTGTTTTCAGGTCTTGTCTGTTGAATCACCAGCAAGAATATTCGCACTATAACCCAATAATAATCCCCATTATAATCACTATAACCACATTACAACCATTAAAACCATTACCCAATAAAAATATTTCCATTACATACCCTAACGCCCGTGAGCTGTTCATCATTGGAGATCTTCGAGGCACATGCCGTGATGTTGGTTGATGAGCTCTGAGAATGGCATTGCAGTGACATCTTCACCTGAGCTCACGTGGATATTCCGAACATTGTAGGTATGTTGGCATGTATTTCATGTATAAATATATATATATATACATTTATGTATATGCATATGCATGTGGATATGTACAATGCCAATCCGATACACACACACACACGTGTATATATATATATATATACAGCCATGCATACATACGTGTACACTGTGTACATACAGGGACCAACAATCGGAGTGCAGCATGCTCTAGCCATCAATCATTGGCACATTCATTTGTTGAAGAACCCTAAACCATCCTAAAGCTAGGATGGTTTCTTGCCAACATCAAACGGATAAAAGAGTCCACTGGGGTCGTTTCCCTGCCAAGTGACACAGCATCTTCCGGCCACTATTGATCATGCCTGGGCAGAATCAGCCAGCCATTGAGCTGGGCAAATTACATCAAATTACCATATGAATAAAGCAGAAATAGATAGAACATGATAGAAATAGTCCAATGGGATGGATGTCAGGGTTGAGACATGTCGTGGCATGATGAGACACCAGCTTCAGCCGGCTGCAAGACAAGCTGCAGCATTTGTGCCACCTTGGTGCAAAATGTCATATCTGGTTCCCTTGCACTTTGCTGAGCAAACTGCTGACACGAAATGATATCACAGGCGACGATCAATGATGGAAATCCCAGACTTTGCAGGACTCAGATTTGCATTTGATGAGTACTGCTAACAGTGCTAACGTCAAACTTTAACCAAGCCGCTCTTCAGAAGGGAACGTCAAGGTATCCAAGCGTTTCCCCTGCATAAAGCCAGCACGATCTCTGCTTCCTGTCACCTGAGACCAAAAATATCTAGCTGTTGACATGTGGACAAAGCACATGGCCACGAAATCTCCAAAATTGTGGCGTTTCAAATTTATCACCTTGTGATACCTTGTGATTCTGTGCTTTGATCTGAAAGGTTCAGTCTCCAGGTCTACGAGTCCATGTGGGTTTCGTATGGTTTCGTACCAGATTCGCCTTCTGGTTCTGGCCATCCTCCGCGCAAATCGGGAGGCGAGCCCTCGTAAAGACCATCATTCCATCATTTATAATGCCAGCGAGGTTGCAAGGAGCCATTTCCTGGATTATAATGATCATCATTTATAATGACCATCATTTATAGTGACCATCATTATATCAATTCCTCGTTTTTTGATGTTTTTTGATGCTTTTTGGAGCCATTTCTTGCGATCCAGTGAAATGCCGAGGTGCCAAATACTTGGGATTTTCGCACTGCGCCGGTGGAGGCAAACGATCTACCTTGTCTGCGTTCTCCCATAAACTTCGCCTCGAACCAGATAAAAACAGGATCGTCGAAGAAGTGGTTGCAACTATCAGAAAATCCCATACCCTCTGGTAAACATACAAAAAACTATGGAAAATCACCATTTTTAATGGGAAAATCCACTATAAATAGCCATTTTCAATAGCTTTTTGTATGTTTACCAGAGGGCAACCAGAAAAATCAGAACATCACTTTCCCTATTGAAAAAAAAGCCACACCTCCGATTTTGAGATAAGCTCAAGCAGTCTCAAGCTTGGAACATCAACATCTGGATATTGATGATATTGAAATCCAAATTGAAACAAAACTCAATGTGAAATGTCATGAAATGTGACTTGTTCGATTGTGGTGTAAGGCTCGCACATGTCCGAACATGCGGAAGACTCTCCACAGGAGCGTTCCGGCCACCAACATCTCCGAATCAAGCCTTGGATAGGGTGCTAAAGCCATGGAACTGCAATGTGAGCCATGACATATCATGACATATCATGATCATGGTACCAATGGCAAATACACTAAGTTAGTTTAAGTGTATGCAATCGTTGCATGAGAATATCCCAGTACCAGCTTCACACGTGAATCAAGTCCATGGAGTCCATGGAGGCAAACTCTCCCATTGTCCCTGCGGATGCCGTGGAACTGGTAGCCTCATGGAGAGCCGTACCATGCGTACCATGGAGCAAAACACTTTGTGCCACCATGGCCTGCAAGATGCAATGGATGAAATGATGGGGAAAGGTCAGAGATGTAGCGAATGAATATGAATGAATGCTGATGATAGCTAATATGGCTTGGGTTTACCATGGTTTAGCCAATTAACCCTAAGATCTACTCATCATTAGCTACTACAGTGTTACTACATTGATTCCTCACACCGATAACCCGCCCACAGTGTACCAGCCCGGTCACCTTTAAAATCTCTGCCGCAAGGCACTATGCGGGGTCGGAGCCATCGGCTGCTCAGGGTGTGGCAAGGTGGCATAATTTACTCCCCTCAAAAATCATGGTGAAATACCCTCTGGTAAACATACAAAAAACTATTGAAAATGGCCATTGAAATAGTGGATTTTCCCATTGAAATGGTGGATCTTTCCATAGTTCTGGAATAGTAAACGTTTACCAGAGGGTATATTGAAATATATGATGCTTCTATATGCTTCGGCGTGTTTCACAGTTGTGGTCCAACATAGTCACAAATTGCGGATGTGGCCTCTAATCTTCCATACGAACCCCAAACTTTGCACCATATCATACTATCTCAGTCATCTCATATGGTGTGTCTCAAACCAAGGGTGCCCCAAAATCATCCTTTGTCTCCCCAGGCAAAACGAGGATTATATTGGTTTTTTTTTATTGGAACCCCAATTTGAAGGACTCCCCATGTGAACAGAGAGTCACCAGGGCAATTCACTGCGATGTTTTCACTGCGCAAAATGCGCGTGTTGCACGTCTCATCCAATATCGAGGCCCCTGCATTGCGAGATGTTCAGGCACAGCCGTTTCAAAGCAACCACCAAAGTGGGGATTTGATGTGATATGACCAACAAACAGAGTGACAGAGTGAATACCAGTAGTACCGCACAAGGCGGTGGCGGAAGTTTCGAAAATAGGAAAACTATAGGAGAGGTTGGTTGTTGTGAATCAGGGATAGCAGAGCGATGCCACTGATGGATTGAAAGGTGCTTGATCTCTCTCACTCTTTCTCTCCCTTTCTCTGACTATCTACCTACCTACCTATCTATTTTCCATGTATCTATCTATCTATCTATCTCTCTCTCTCTTTCATTTGATTACCCTATCTATCTATCTATCTATCTCTCTCTCTCTCTTTCTTTCATCTGTCTAGCTGTCTAGCCATCTATCTATCTATCTATCTATCTCTCTCTCTCTCTCTCTTTCATCGGTCTATCTGTCTAGCTGTCTACCTGTCTATCTATCTATCTATCCATCTATCTATCTATCTATCTGTTTGTCTGTCTGTCTGTCTACCTATCTATCTATGGTGCACCTAGCTACCTACCTACCAATCTATCTATCTATCTATCTATGTATCTATCTATCTATCTATCTATCTGTCTGTCTGTCTGTCTGTCTATCGATCTGTCTGTCTTTCTGTCTGTCTATCTGTCTAGCCATCTATCTATCTATCTCATCTACCCAGCTGGCCTCTCTCTTTCTCTCTCTTTCATCTAATTACCTATCTATCTATCTATCTATCTACCTACCTGTCTATCTCTCTCTCCCTTTCATCTGTCTATCTGTCTAGCTGTCTACCTGTCTATCTGTGTTGCAGTGTCATTCAGTGTAATGTAGTGTGGTGTAGTGTAATTTAGTGTAGTGGACTGTACTGGAGTGTAATGTACTGTAATGTAGTGTGACTTCGAAGTGAGCTTCGCGCCACAACAGCGTACACATTTTCAACATCTGAACCTCCAAAAATGGTCCGAGCATGGTGTGTTTTGTGCATTTTGACTTGGAAATGTGCTTCGCGCCAAAACGACGTGCACTTTTTCAACATCTCAACTTCCAAAAGTGGTCCGGAACTGAGGTGTTTTGTACATTTTGACTTGGAAATGTGCTTCGCGCCACAACGGCGTGCACTTTTTCGGACAAACGGGAGGGGGGACTCGCAACTTCCAAAATGGTCCGCCGAGCATTGTGTGTTTTGTACATTTTGGGACTTGAATGTGCTTCGCGCACAACTGCGTGCCCTTTTTCGACCATGCAGGTCAACTGGACAGGATGGAAGCAAGAGCGGCAGACTTTTTTCGACATCTCAACTTCCAAAAGTGGTCCGAGACCGCCAGTTTTTAACACTTTTGACTTGGAAATGTGCTTCGCGCCACAACGGCGCGCACTTTTTCGACATCTCAACTTCCAAAAGTGGTCCGAGAATGGTGTGTTTTGTACATTTTGACTTCGAAATGTGCTTCGCGCCACAACGGCGTGCGCTTTTTCGACATCACAACTTCCAAAAGTCGTCCGACGCTGAGGTGTTTTGTACATTTCGACTTGGAAATGTGCTTCGCGCCACAACGGCGTGCACTTTTTCGACATCGCAACTTCCAAAAGTGGTCCGACCATGGTGTGCTTTGTACATTTTGAGTTGGAAATGTGCTTCGCGCCACAACGGCGTGCAATTTTTCATCGCTCCTGTGGCCAGCTGGCTCCGCACCCGCCGCTTTAGCGAGCCTACTTTTCGACCCTCCTGAGCCACAAATCATTGGAAAAACACAGTGTTTCGCGACTTTCCTACCTTTTCGCGCATCTGTATCTTCTGTCCTCTTACTCTTTCTCTTCTACTCTTCTCTCTTCTTATCTTTCTCTTCTCTCTGCCTCTGCCCTACTCTGCTGTTCGTCTGTCCATATTGTCGGAAGTTTGACTTCTAAACTTCCTTCGACAAACACACATATTCAATACATATATGATTTCCTGTATATGTGTATATATATATACATAGTATATACAGTGTATATATTGTATAATATATAAATATATACATAGATTATGTAGACACAAATTAAATATAGATTTAAATATTTATGCATGAGCAATTCTTAGTGGCTTGAGTTAGAATTACTAAGCGGCAACAATGGACTGGACCAACTGTCCAAGATGAAGTAACACCTCTGGAATATCAACTCCCCTATGCACTCCATCGTCAAACACTGGTGGGTTTTGCCTGTTCAAAGGACTACCTTTGTCCTAGATGAATCTCAACATCCACTTCTGAAATACCACATCTAGAGCCCAAACCCATCAACAACGGGAATTCAAGAGGTGGATGGGATTATATCATATTATATCATTTATCTTCTGAAAATATGGTTAAAAATGGTTTACCCCTACATTCTAGCAGTAGTTTCATGCCCATTTTGGGTAGCAACGGTTAAAGCCCCAGCTTTCTACCCGCCATGCCACGCCATGCCACGCAGCGGCGCCTTAGGCTCTGACCTGGACAAATCCAGCATATCATTAGAGAATATCAGCCTCTGGGCATTCGATTATTCTAAAAAATACGATGTATTTTAATATATGCTAATGTATTCTAGTGTATTCTAATAGCATCAGTCATCAGTCATCATCAGTCATTATCTCATCACACTTCGCTTCTCATCTTCGAAGTCTTCCTTAAAACTTTAGACTACTTCCTCATCGCCACGAAAGAGGTCTTAATTCTGAACCGAGCCACGCGCAAAGCCTTTAGTCTTTAATGAATAATTGATCCTTAGCGAAGCGCGTCGATCAAACATGGAAACCCTTCACTCATCCGGGTGCTCTCAGTCTCTTCGAATGTCAGCAACTGAGAGCAGCACGAAGTCTGATCATGATCTATCTCTGTCTCTATCACCTTTTCCACGATCTCCTTTATCAGTTCAAGGTCTCAAAAAAACATAACTTTCATAATGATCCCGCACACAAGTCCCAAATGGTAGATTTCCGCGGAGGGGAACATCAAACATCCATCATTGATCATTTTGCTGACATCGATCAATGGTAACTGACCCGGTCTCCTTTCCCTTCGCCTTTGTCTCGTGGTGGGCCTTTCTTCTTCACCGTCAGCCGGGTACCGTCTTCAAAGGGCCAGCTATTCAACGCCCTGATTGCCTGTTGGAGTTCCAATGGGGATCCAATGGGGATCCCAAAAACCCATTGGTTTTCCCTTGTTGTCTCAGCAGAGAATGATTTTTTTTGGACCAAGTTTGAGGAGGAACCAAGTGGCAAACGTCATTCAAAACGTCCAGGCAATTATCTGAATCTGTCATACTCTGTCTGACCTGAGCTGAAGGGAACATACCACCGCCATCTACTGTGGATTTCCTTTCAACGATAGAAAGTCCTCTATTCAGAAAGAACATGCGCACAAATATGTTATATGATTGTATGCCTATAATGTGGGTAAAACAATATCATAAACCATCCCCCAGTCACCATTTTTATAGGTGGTATGTTCACCATTCCCAATCATGGTTTATGACATTGTTTTACCCATATTATAATCATTATAGGGCTTTTGAAAAACATCTTCACTCTCTCGCCTTCTCGGCTGCCTCCGAGTTCATGTAATTAATGAAGCCGATGCCCGTGCATTTGCCGCTGTCCTTGTCCACCAGAGCAGTTGCCTGTTGTTCATTTGTTCATTCAGTTCTCCATGGTGATGGGTGAAGAGATTTGAAAAGTGATACATAGTGATACCATGTGACATGAAAGATTGATATACATTGATATCCTGGATCCAAGACCTATTTTTTTAGAAATTGATGAGTGGACCAGCCGGTCAAACAAGAGGCAGTGTCACTCATCATCCTTTTATCTTCATGACGCACCTGAAAAAATCTCGTTGAATCATGATCCCAGGCAAGATAGAACCCAAACATTCTTGAACGCCCAGCTGTAGTCAACCATTTTTGGCGGCCACAGCCCAAAATTGCTGACCATTAATCTGCGATAACAGATCTCAAACCACATGAAACCACCAACTATCAATATCAACAATGGTCAACAATAATCAATAATATCCAAAGCAAAATAGGGAAACAACTTTTTAACACATTTCAACCACCCAAGAGTTCTGTTTTTTGGGGTTCCCCCAGTCGGTTGGAGGACATAGATCCACCAAGTCGCCCCTCGAGGGGCAATGGGTCCAAAGGCGGAGAAAATCTGGTACATCTCAAGGCTTGTGGTGTCTGGGGGCAATCCACCCACGAAAAGCCTCAGTTGACAAACCACTTCTGCCACTTTTGGGGGAAATATGTCGCACATGTTAAACTGTTAAACCTATGGATGAGTATGGTGCATGTAGAGGTTTTGAAACAACAACACTATTTCCCAAACAAATCCAAGATACGCCAACATCGCCAACTAAATCCACCCAACATCCATTTCATCATTGTTTAATATAGATTATTCACCGCCCCATTCCATATTATCCCCAACATTGTCCCCAATATTGTCCCATTTTAGATATTGATATAGATGACATAAATGATATATATATATATATTATATAGATATGTATATGCCGTCCCTTCCCCCCATCCCCCATCCCCCAACCCCCCATGCCCCCATCTCGCCCTGGGGACGTATTGTCGTCGTTGTTCCACTTGCCTCCAGGCACCACCTGGGCCGAGACCACGGCGCGGACTAGGCCCTTGGCCTCCTTGGGAGCTCCAAAGGCGCCCTTGCCGTAGCCTTTGCCTAACGATGGGACGATGTCCCCAACAAAAAGGGGGAGATGGAGATGTGGGATGGGGCCGGATGGGTTGGGATTTTCCATCCCAAAATTGGGAGAACATGTGGGTTTTCTCCGAACAGTTCGGAGAAAATGCTGAGATGACGCTGAATTTTTGGGAGATTTTGCGACCATATTCGGTGGTAGGTGTTGAAACGCTGATGATATTTTGTAGTCACACTCAAAATTGTCATGAATAATCATCAAAATCATGAAGAGGTTGGGAGGAGAATCCCAATCAAATAGGTATATAATTAGGACGTAAATCTGGTTATATACAATGAAAAACCGAAATGCGTAGTTATTTCACACGAAAAATCAAGGCTAAAACATGAAGCATGGGTATATATATATATATACATATGTATGTATGTATGGATGTATGGATGCATGCATGCATGCATGCATGCATGGATGTATGTATGTATGTATGTATCTAGATATATATATATATACACAGCTGAAAACCTGAAGGATTGGGACAATGGTCAGACTAGGATATTGGCAGCAGCCAAGGAGTGAGGCCAGCTGGATCAAATAACCAAAAACCATCAAAAACCTATAACCAGTGAGTAGGCATGTTCACTTGCAATTGTCAACTATGTTGCCAGTGGTTTCTTCCCAAATCCCCGGAAAAATACCCAATGCACTTCAAGCAATGCTCTGTTTTTCGTCATTCAAACGGCAACAAACTTCATGCATCTTCATGCCAAGTTGCCCCAATCCCAGCCTTTGCCGAAATCCATCATCGGACCCATCATGGGCATAGGGCCCATCATCGGCATGCCCCACATCATATAATCCATGGGGCTCCCTTTGTACCAGCCTTTCATCTTTTAACCGACCGAGCCCCGAAAGGCCGACCGGTTCACCGGAGTTTCCGCGGTTGTTTTGACGTGTTGCAATAATTAGTCCCACCGGCTTGAGCCCGAAGGATTACAAAAAAACCTCAACGTTGCTGATACCTGGAAACATTAAAAGGTTTATATACGTCCACCCAAAATCATAAGAGATCCTTCTCATTGTTTAATAGATGTCAATAACACCACTTCACAACAAAACACAGAGAGATCCAGAATGTTCCCAAACATCAATAGAATCATCAATAGACGTAATATGAATTAATAGAATCATCCCCTCATCGCAAATTGAAGCAGTCGTCCCACTGTGTCCCAGCATTTTCACTTCAGCAAATGTCCCGAGCTCTGAAGCATCGCCAACATCTGCAGCAACGGTGGACTTTCACGGGCCACGCGAAAGCATTGATAAATCCTCCTGGCGATGTGGTAAAGGCAGTGATTCCAACTGCGGTGAACTATCTGTTTCTTTACTGTAAAGTTCCTGAGGCAATGGCAGGATGGTAGGTTAGATAATACATTAAAACTTCAGGTCCAAAGTGCAGACTTTCCATAGCGCTCATGTTGGCCGCGAATCAGCTTGATTGTTTAGGAAGAAACCAGGGGATTAGCTCCCCAACTTAGCGTCCAAAGACCCAAACCATCGCTCTATGTCTGGGACGATATTTTTCGAAACCAAAAGTCTGCGATTGGTTTTTGTGACTCAACGGGGCTTCAAACCATGCTCCGAAATTTGGACTGGTTAAATCCCAGCCGCATGATTTTTTCAGACATTGCATGTGCCATGGTCATTGGAGCTGTTCAATTTGTGGTCCTTGTCGGGTATCGCTTCCACCATCATTGGCGCCGCAGCGCCCCAAAAAGTTGGCTTCAAGAAGAGGTCCAAATTTGATGGGTCAAAAGTCATCCCTCCAATTCTTCCCCTAGATTTGGATACTAAATGACTAAATTCCAATAGTTTCCCAAAAAATCCAGTGACATTTTCCCCACCAAAGCCCCAGTGGTTCCAGTGGTTCCAGTAAACCGAGGCGCTTCACCAGTTCCAAGTCTTTCTCTTGGCCCGTGGCCACCAAGACCAAGACCACACGCTCCAAGACCATCGCCAGGACGTTGGGGGCTTCACCCTGGCATTTTTCGGGGCCCATTGGGGATGGTGACTTCTTCTACAACGATGTATCAAACCACTGCATCAAACATGTATCAAACCATGATTTCCCCGATTTTTGACGATGTTGCGCCTCTGGTGGGGGACAAGCCGCGGTCCTTGGGATATCTTGGGATGGCGCTGTTATGCGCTGTTTATTTCTGTAGCCATGGTGATGTGTTGCGGCTGTGATGGCATTTCCTCTGGCAAGATGCACTCGGCAACTGTTGACAACCAGGGCCCCACTATGTATTTCTTCCCAAATTTCATGTGATGGTCCTGGTCTGCTGAGTAATGTTAACTACTTAGTGTTGTTAAATATCATCAGGTTGGGACCTGCCCACATCTCTCGATGTTTTTTGCACCCGTTGCACCCGTTGCACCCAAGCTTCAACGATGGCACGTCACTGCACTTCTCGGGGCTGAGCCTGCGCAAAGCCTCCAGCATCGCCTCAAATACACCAGATGCACAAAAATAAAAGGACCCAATAGGACCCACATACACAAACACAGTATACTGATGTATCCTGTATGTGTATACTTGAATTATATGCGTATATCTAGGATAATTGTGCGCGCAAGCGGGGTACGCATCAAACATCCCACTTATAAATGGGTGAGCCATGAGTGTGACAAACATACCAAGTGGGATGCATATCCAAGTAGATCTTTTGATGTTTCGGGATGCTGAAACTATTGAGAGTTATACTCCTGCAGGACTGTCACCATGGACAATTGTCTGTCACTTGGTCACCCCAAACACTGGATGCCCCTTAAAGTTGGAAACTCAAACTGACGAACATTTGCATTATGCGACGTATCATTACCCAGCATAGTATGTGACTGCATGCTGCAAGACACACAAGCACACACACACAGAAACGCACTATTGTGTGTATATATATAAATACATATATTAATGGCAACTCCCCCAAAACCTACCTTTTTGTATCTATATCTATATCTATATCCATATCTATCTCTCTATCTCTCTATATCTCTCTCTCTCTCTATCTCTCTATCTCTCTATCTCTCTCTCTCTCTCTATCTCTCTCTCTATCTCTCTCTCTCTCTTTCTCTCTCTCTTTCTCTCTCTCTCTTTCTCTCTCTCTTTCTCTCTCTCTTTCTCTCTCTCTCTTTCTCTCTCTCTTTCTCTCTCTCTTTCTCTCTCTCTTTCTCTCTCTCTTTCTCTCTCTATCTCTCTATCTCTCTATCTCTCTCTCTCTCTATATCTCTCTATCTCTCTATCTCCCTCTCTCTCTCTCTATCCCTCTATCCCTCTATCTCTCTATCTCTCTATCTCTCTATCTCTCTATCTCTCTATCTCTCTATCTCTCTATCTCTCTATCTCTCTATCTCTCTATCTCTCTAGCTCTCTATCTCTCTATCTCTCTATCTCTCTAGCTCTCTATCTCTCTATCTCTCTAGCTCTCTATCTCTCTATCTCTCTAGCTCTCCATCTCTCTATCTCTCTATCTCTTTATCTCTCTAGCTCTCTATCTCTCTATCTCTCTATCTCTCTAGCTCTCTATCTCTCTAGCTCTCTAGCTCTCTAGCTCTCTAGCTCTCTAGCTCTCTATCTCTCTATCTCTCTATCTCTCTATCTCTCTATCTCTCTATCTATCTATCTATCTATCTCTCTATCTCTCTATCTCTCTATCTATCTATCTATCTATCGATCTATAACACACACATGTATATATATATATATCCATATGTATGTATATAGATATATATCATATATATGATATATGTATTAATGATTATGTTATATGATGTTATAAGTATGCTCATACCGTTTTTTGACCGTAGGGCTTCCCCGCGCCTTAAAGGCTCCGTGGTACTTCTGCAGGCCCTGACGGTCATCTGTCCTGAGACGGTGCTGTTGCGGTTTTCGCTGGAGGATTCACCGTGTAAACATGTTGAAAACATCTTAAACATATGACATATGTTTAAAACATGTTTGTATATGCTAAATCAAGTTGAAATATGTTGAAATGTGTTGGAAATATGAATGTTGGAAATGAGCCGGGACGTGCTGAGATGGGAGGTGATGTTTTAATGTCCACTTTGCAGAGTACATGATTAAAACATGGCTTTGACCATGGATCAAGATTTATGGTAGACATGTCAGGCTGGGCATGAT